GTAATAGAGCAACAAAACTGCAGAGCAGCATCAAGAGAGAGTGAAAGTGGGTCTAAAGAGCTTTGGCTTTGGGCAATCGGCCAAATCACAGACCCAGATACCCCCCAAACAGAACTGGGAGCTGGGAACTGGGCCAATGGGAAAAGCCACACAAACTAATCCCAGCAACCGTATGGTAGATGCATACATACATGTCCAGTGTAGTGCAGATTGCAATTAGAGAGGGATTACATTTATGGCACTCCGCCGGCTCCCCCCCGTCATCTGCCATCTGGGGGGCGGGAAAAAATATGAAATCTCATATTAATGCCACACATACGGATAGGGAGTGGAGGGAGTGGTTGCAGAGAACTCTGTTGCATGTTGGCATTTTACAAAATTAACTGCTTTTATCTAGTTTTTTCCCTTTGGCACATACACACGTCTGTGTGTGTGACAGCCCATTAATTTGGTGGAAATGTTTTCTACGTCATTGGAGCCAGGAAAAAAACACACAAGGCTAAGAGGATAAAAACTGTTAGCTGGTAGCTGCTTTTGACTAAATTACGGCTCGAATGCCATGAGTGTGTGTGTGTGCATGTGGGACACCCATGAATTAATGACCAAGCCAAAGGGATATGAAGATATTTAAGTGATAGTTTGTCCCTATAATTATATAAGTGGTATTTGGCTTCAAGTGAAATGTATTCCATGGCTGCAATGTCGATTTATCTATGCATTATTGAAAGGCTATTTTGATGACCAAAGGAGTACGAGTAGAGTCTTCTTATGGCCTTAATATTATAGTCCCCAATCACATGCAGATACAGATGAATTATAAAGTACTTCTGCTCAGTACATCACCCTATTATAATTTTAATTTAAACCAATAAACACTTAACCATTTTGACTTGAAAACTTTCCCCCAAAGTCAAATCTTGAGTCAGCCTTTAATTCAATTTCACATATTTTGGCAGCAGTCTCTTGCTCTCTGTCCTTGTTCACACCACCTTCCCCATGGTGTGATTTATGTGCATAATTACCCAGAAATTGCATAAGATTAGTTTTAATTAGTTGGGCAACTTTCTGTGCGAGGCAGCAGCAGCCAGAAATACTAAATAAATAACTTGGGCCACAGTCGTACGAAAAGCCAAAAGAAACTTCAACTTGGGCACAGCTCCCGCATCCGCAGTGGCAAGTATCGTGCCCGCCTGCGGAGAATCCATCCTCCGAAGTGCATCGAGAGCAAGAAGGAAGCTCTGAGTTGCAGGAGGTGGCCGGTGCCTGCGGGAGGAACTGCAGAAGAAAGTTTTACGTGCTCCGCCCAAAAGCAGGCAACGATTTCTTTCTTGCGGTTGCGGTTGGACTCCTGGACTTTCCTTCTGTTACTGGCCTTATCCTGGTCCCTGGTCCCTGGCACACTGAGCTCCAGCTCCCGTTCCTGTTCTTTTTCTGACCAAATGTTCGCTCATTATTTTTCATTTGCATTGCGTCATTTGTTCAGAGGCAGGAAGGCAGGACGCTGGCAGAACCCCAGTGTCTGCTTGGACTCTTAATTTATTGTTGACCCCCTTTTTTGGGGCCTCCATTCGTTGTAGTTCGTTCCTCTTTTTGCTGTTGCTGCTGTTGCTGTCGCTGTTCGCTGATTGTCAAGGCGACCGCGTGGCCGCGTTGCCCAGGAAACAACTATAACAAATACAACAAAAGGCACCACTGCCACAGCCAGAGCCACATGTGTAAGGCGAATATGTATGTTAAGTGTTCTTTTTAATTGCCTGCATAAAAAATAAAGACATTAGCCATAAGGCGACTCCCATAAAAATGGTTGCTTGGGGGAAAACCCCACCGCCGAAGTGGCAGAAACAAGAGGATACATGTGGATGTTTAAGGGTAATGTCCGCATGGCAGAGAGCTCAGGGAATAGTCGTTGAATCCTTGAGCAATGAAATGGGGTTTCACTCCTTATAAAAACTAATGAAGTGATATTCGCGGGGGTTCTAAGAAAAAGTTTATGTACTGAAGCCCTGTGGCAGATATCCGTCGACATAACTATCCTTTAGTTCTCAGTTTTCGGTAAACTAAGAATCAACCCAAGTCCCCGTTTTATTCAGAACTTTCTGCTATGGCAAATATTCTCTAAAGTTTTCTCAAGACCTCCTTCTGCTTTGTCTTCCGGTTTTGCTTCATCGTCTTTTACTCGTTAGAAGTGTAAACAAGGCCACAAGCGTTCTCCACGATTCTCCACAGTTCTCCCCATTCTGTGGCAAGCTCAACCACACACATACAGCCACAGTCACAAGGGACCCCATCCCATCCTCTTCGCTTTCTCGCTTTAAGTACCCCATGTTTGGGGGCTGCTGCTGTACTTTTCGCCAACTTTTGTGTAAAACTCTCACGTACACTGCGTTGAAGCTGCTGCAGCTGCAGCCTGCCTCTGTGTGTGTGTGTGTGTGTATGTGTGTATGTGGAACGTGTCGGCTGCCAATTGCATTGCGTAAGTGTGTGACATTGAGGCTGCAGGCAGACCAGACTCTTTGCCTCTCTGAAAGGAAGTGCTGAACCGACTGTCAAGTGGCCAACTCTCTGGCATAATCAAATTATTCCCATGCCTCCCCCCGTGCTGCCCCAGCACGGCGCTGTGTGTGTGTGTGTGTGTGGTTGCATCTGCCACAGAGCTGGCTGACAGGCTTCAGGATGCTTATCATGCGTTTTAATTAATTTCAGCTGCTCGCTCTGACCCCTGGCCTCTGAGCCACTGACCAAACCAGAACTGAGACGACCCACACGGTCTGCCCCAGCACGTGTGCCACTTGATCAATTATGCAAACGAGTCGAGTGGCGGCTTATTTCTTATTACGTTTCCATTAAGAATTGAACAAGCCAAACGAGCCGTGAGAATGTGCCACGAAAAGAGGCTTGAGCCCCGAGCACGTGCCAGCTGCTGATCCTGCGGTCGCCTGTCGATGATGTGCGAATGTTTTTTTTCATAGCATACATTTCGGTGCCAAGTGATTGGCACTTTAAAATCATTTAGCGGCATCTCTTCTTTCGAGGGGAGTCCCATTATATCTATAAAACTATTCAATGGTCCAACAGTAATATATTTACCTGTAATCCTGTAGAATTTATGCCTAAATTCACTCCATTCTACAACACAAAGCCATGGGATTACTTGCAATTAAATCCACGGATAAATTATGGAATTTTCAACTGCTTTAATTTATTGTTTAAGCTTTTTTCAATTTCCGCCATCAGAATGTGTGCAAAAATTACCCAATTCTATAGAAAATTAAAATATTTCATCAAATGTTCAGCTTTTTCTATTTACATAACTTTGCAATCACAAATATACATACCACTAAAATACGCCAAAAATCAAATATTCCATTAAATTCCAGCATCTAATTAAGGCATTTTAAATCGCTTTAGCCGCTTTTCACATTGAAATACCACTTCAACCAGCAAAAGTTGGCCTAATTCGTGCTCTGCACTCGGCAAACCGAATGTGCAAGTGTTTCATTAAAATGAAAATTAAAACTCATTCTGCCGTACTCTCGTGGCAGCCACAAAGCAAAGTCGAAAGCAAAACCACTTGCTGCAATCCCAGCTGCCGGACCACAAAAAAGCAAACACGAAAACTTAGCAGCGGAGCGGAGACCAAAAGCAAATGATATGCGGACCGATGGCAGGCCTGGCTGCCGGGGTAAACCAGGTGTATATGCGGTGGATCCAGAGCCCGCATAAACATCCCCATATGACTAGAGAGTTCCGTTTCGGGGTCTATCACACACCAGGTGCACCTCCTAATGGGCGGCCGGGCCGCACACACACAGCAAATTCAATTTGTTCGTGGCGAAAATGGGAGAAGAGCGGCAGCCAGGCTAGAGGAATCCAAGCCAAGCCCCAACCATCAGGCTGAAAGCCAAAAGCCTGGCCAGCGGATATCCGCTGAGCTGGGAGCTGGGTCCGGAGAGCCTCATGTAATATGCAACAGCCTCCATTCGGCTCGGATCCGGGTCGCGTACAATTGAATTTTTCGGCTACTCAGCGCCAATTCAAATTTTTTGCCGAATATTTGGCTGTGTCTGGAGTTGGAAAACTATGAAATTAGATTAAATTCCAGTTGGGGGGTCATAATTCGTAATGAATTTAAAATGCAATTTGAAGCATTTTTAGGGTCCATTAGGCAAGAAATGGCAAATGGAGTTATCTTTTATAATGGATTTATTTTGAACGCATGCTTTTTTCAATGGAACAACAAAAATTAGCACGGTAGTTGCTTCTTAGCACTCGATAATGTATCGATAGCACGATAACTAACACTATCTCAATATATCACTATCTATCTATTCCTCTCACCTGCACACAGTCTATCGATTGCACGATAACTTCTTCTCTCATCTCTAGCACACTCTCTCCCTCCGTATTTAAACCATTTGTAGCGTAACTTTCTGGTATCTTTCGTATCTGTCTGTCGTCTTTGTCTCCTGCTAACTCTCCTTCAAAACTCATGTTGTACATTTGTTATCTTCTACTTCTTTTCTTTTTTTTAATATAGCTTTCAAGCTAAATGTAGTAAAAGAAAGAGCAACAGAATCAAAAAATCATTAAAAAAAACTGTAAATTGGTAAAAATACTCGCAAACAAAACGTAAAGGCTAAAACAAGGCGTGTTGTTTTGCCGCAACAATAAACAAAACAACAAACAAAACAACAAACAAAACTACAAGCAAAAACTACAACAAATATAGAACAAGAAAAATATAGAAACAACAAACATCTACAAGAACAAACGCCGCTAAGTAGATACAAAAATCATAGAAATTTCTTTTGTCGAGGCACCCGCGCAAAGTTCCATTTTGCATAGTAGACTTTTAGGCGCCGCACACTCTTAGCCACACGAAACAGACAGACAACCAAACCAAACCAACCATCCATACGACAAATTCAAGAAACATTCCAAGCAAAAACCAAAAGCAAACCACCATCGCCACCAAAGCCACAGCCACCGGCACCATCGCCACCACCACGAACCACAATATGAGCCTCAATAAGATCAAGAAGCGCGACTCGAGCGACTTATGACTGATGCGCTCGAAGGGCCATGGCCATGCCACCGTCAATCTGGGCGCTGGCATTGGCAGCGGCAGTCGGTACAAGGTTACGTGTGTGCCGGAAGTGAGCATCACATCGCCCACCAGTGGGGGCCTCCTCCATGAGGCACCGTTGCCGCTGCCGAGTCCCATCTCGATCGCACAACAGCCCCAGCCACAGCCCCAGCCACAGCCACAGCAACAGGCGGCACAGAGCAATGCGAAACACTTTGCGCTGCTCCAGCGCAGTCGCTCCCAGCCACAGGCACAGTCGTCGTCGTCTAACAGCATTTTCTCCACGCCTTCAGGCATAGGCCCTGCTGTGGGCGGCGCCACTCTGGTCGAGGAGGAGGACTTCAGCTTGGCAGCGGCTAGTGCCAGCAGTGTGGCCGCGAAGAACGTGCTTCAGCGCCAGTTGGCCACGACCACCATCGTTCACCAGCAGCAGCAGCAGCAGCAGGAGGATCAGGATTTGGATTTGGACAGCGAACGGGAACGGGAACCGCTACAGAAGTTACCCCTGACTTTGGAGGCGTCGTGCGAGCCACCCAACGAACTGACACCGCTCGTGGAGGAGGAGCCCAGTGCCAGTGCCAGTACCGCTGCCGCAGGCCCATCGACAGGAGCCTCCACAAGCAATCGTTATAGCCGCAACTCAAAGACCACACGCTCCTGGCCCGTCATCTATCGCAATCCGCATCACTGCGACTACGAGGCTCTGTACATCCAGCAGCAGCAGCATCCGCAGGGATCGCAGAGCTTCAAGCAGAACTGCTACTCGAATCAGTTCAAGCAGTCGATCGTCTACTCCAGCAGCAATGAGGAGGATCTCCCCGGCGGCGAGCAGCAGTTAACGGAGCCCAGGCAAACCACCTGCTACTATTTTGCACCCAGTCGCCACAACAGCATTTATGAGCATCCCTCCTCCGTGGTCGGCGGCTCCTTGCAGTTCGACGCAGGAAATTCGGGCGCAAACGCAGCCACATCCGCCGTTGCGGCAGCGGCCGTCGAGAGTCTGAGGCGCAGCAACAGCATCCTGTTGAGGCAGAACAGCTGCGCGAAGGTAATCCAACGTCGTGGTAGCGGCGGCAGTGGTTCCCCCACATCCCTGGGCTCACAAATGGACGGCCTGGGCATGGGCAGTACGGCGGGGGGCAGCGCCTGCTGCTCCACCTGCTGCATGGGTCCGCCGCCGGTGCTGTTTCTCTTTGTCACCCTTCTGATGACCACCAGTGCCACGGCCATGCTGTGTGCTGCCATCATGACGGATCACTGGGAGCATGTCACATGGGATCGTAATAGTCTGGATCGTTACTCGAATCGTTCGGGTCTGCATCTGGAGTGGCTGCTAGAGGACCAGGTGGCCATGCTCAAGCCGGATAAGAGAGGTATGTCCTGGTCCTATATCTATATCGTAATCCTGTACATCTTTCTTGCCATCCTCCAGCCGATCATCGATTTCGTCGCGACTCTGTATTCCTGGTGCCCATGCACGGCGGGATCTGGACCCTGTGCATTGATCTGCCCATCCAGCAGCTGCAGGAGCTGCGGCGCAATCCGAAATTCCCACGAGGAGCCCCTCCATGTGTCAACTATCTGGCGGGCTCCATGGAGAATGCACGCGGGGAGGAGCAGCGCAACGATTGGCAGCACAGTGAGTCACAGGTCATCACTCTGCAGCCGCATCTGAGTACGTATCTGGTCGCCAATCCGTCCTGAATCCATGAATCCATGAACTCTCCACTCTCCACTGTCTTCCAGCCCACTCTATTCCTCTCCGTTCCTTTTGTTTAATACAAAACATTCGTTTATTTTTACGCACTTTCTTACGCACTAAATTGTGATTTTAAACTTACAGAGACTTACAGAGAATTTTGGTAGAAAAAACAGCAAACAAAAAGCATAAATAGGAGCATAATAGGGGGAAAGCATGGGGACAGTGACAGTGTGCTTGTGTTTTATAAAATGCAAGTGTGTGAAAAAGGTGTTTCTATCATGGGTTGAGGGTCGAGGGATGGGTGGTTTAAGTAGCTGATGTGTGGGGGGTGATTGAGTGTGTGCCACTGGAATGTGCCGCTGCTTTTCCTACAAGGCGGGACGCTTGGCCGGCGAGCACAGGGCCTCGGCCTCAGAGCCAGGCTCCTCGGGCTTCTTGCGCTTAATCAAATGCGTAATATCGGTGGGCTTGGCGGTGGAACTGCTGCTAATGGTCGACGAGGACGAGGTGGCAGCAACAGCAGAAGTAGCAGCAGCACTGGACGATGATGACGGTGATGGAGAGCTGGCCGCCCCATTGGTGGATGAAGACGCAGCAGCATCGTTGCTGCTGGCGCCCCCGCTGCTGCTACTGCCACTGCCCATTGGCTTGATGTAGCTATCCAAAGCCGCACGCACCTCAGCAATGGTCTGAAAATTGGTTTTAAATTAATAATTATACAGGAAAATGTATCGTTTCCCTTACCTGAGCCTGCATCTCTTCAATTTCCTGTATTTTGGCCAATATCTCCTGCTTGGTCTCCTCCAAATCCAACATATTGTTCTTCTCGCGATCACTGAGGGGCTCCTCTTTCTCCTTGATCTCTGTTATTTCCTCCTCAATCAAGGCACTGGAGAGACGCAGCGAGGCGGCTCCTTCCTTGTTTTGCTGTGCCATCAAAAATGTCAGGCCGATCTTGTAGTGCAGCTCGGCGAGTGCCCGGCGATTCTTAGTTGGGAGATCGCTTAGAATTAAGAGTGCTTTTTCTGAAAAATTCAAATTCCATTCCACAATCAGTAAATGAAGTATCTTTGCTCAAGTAGTAACTCACCGTAATCCTCACGTGCCGCCTCAAGGATCCCATTCTCGAATTCAATATTTGCCAATTCAGTTTGAACCTCTGCCAAATAGGGAAGGCCGTTGAGGCCCTGGCGCAAAAAGATCTTGGCAGCTGCCTCCAAGATCTCCCAGGCCAACTGGAGACTGCCACTGACGCCCTCTTCGGTCTCCTCCTCATCCTCTCCTCCGGCTGAAGCCGCAGCTCCATTGCTGGGACTGGCTGCAGCCTCACCATTCGAGGTGCTGGGACGCTCATCATCGTTGACCGTGGCACCGCCATTGCTGCTGCTAACTTCTTCGACTCCTGTGGATGATTTCTTGGCATTCTTCTCATCTGTTGGGGCATCTACAGTGGAATCGGCTTCATCGGAGGCCTCCTTGATGCTATCCAACGCCTTGCCATTTGTGCTGCCGGCGCCATTGGCTTCCTTCTTGGATGGCTCGGCTTCCTTCTTCGACTCTGCCGCTTCTTTGGCCTCGCTTGCCTCCTTCTTGGCCTCGCCTGCCTCCTTCTTGTCCTCGCCAGCTTCTTTCTTGGACTCTGCAGCTTCCCCTGCTTCGTCCCCAGCATCATCGTCATCGTCCATATCCTCATCATCGTCATCGGCTGCCTCATCGGGCACATCAATCACTTTGTTCTCATCCAGAGCCATGGCAATCAGCGCCTTGGCATATCTACCGGGAGGGACAAATTATACGATATTAATAAAGTTACAACCGCTCTCCATCATCTGTGTCATCCACTCACAGCAGCAGGGGCTGCCCCAATTCATCGGCCAGCTCGCCGTAAACCTCCTCGTACAGCTGGCACACCTGGCTCAATTCATCGGCGGCCTCATCGTAGCTCTTGACCAGGAAATTGCGCGATCCCTGGCTAAAGAGCTCCTTGCCCTTGAGTATTTTTTCGGCGCGCTCTTGCTCCACCTTGCCGTTTCCCTCGGAGGCGCCATCTGTGGCCACGGGCACAGCGTTGTCGGGTGTGGTGTCTGCATCGACGGCGGCTACTTTCTTGATTTTTGTCGGTGATGTGGAGGCATCGGCAGCGGCCGTTGTGACAATGGCTTCAGCTTCAGCAGACATTTTTTATATTGATTGCAGCAGAAAGTAGATAGATCTGGAAAAGAGTTAGGAGATAGGAGGGTTAGCTTTGTTGGCTTTGTTTTCCTTTGGTTTATCCTCATTTTGTAGACCCTTCCTTCATTCCTTGAAACCCTAAACAACATTTGTAGGTTGTGTGCCCTAGACGTCACTTTCGATGTATGTAGAAGACCACCAGTAAATGTGTGTTTATTTTTGTAAAACACAATTTTTAAATGGCATTTTCGCGTTACTCCCCCGCTTTCGCTTGCTTTCTTGGACCATTTTACCATTTATTCTGGCTTAAAATGTTGGCTCCAAGCTGTCGCACATTTCACAAGTCATTACCGCAAATCCCATTTCCACCAGCAGCGGAGAGAGTCGGCAAAATCCCATAGAACAGAGCAGAGCAGATAAAAATGAAAACCAAAGACAGCAACAAATGCCCAGAGGAGGAGCATAACCGAATGTGTCCTGTGGCCTTGTAATAGCACCGTCTACTATATAAAGTAATTACCGCAAAAGCTAACCGAGTTTGCCTCCGGTTTCCTATATTGTCAATATAGTCCCGTGCTGTAGCTCCTTCCTGCCAGCCCACAACAGATGAAACATGTCCGTGTCGATAGGTGCATGCCTCGTGGAAACGGAAAGCCAGAGGTACAGCAAGTGGCAGGGCAGCAAAGGGAGCCCCGAAGGTAGAGGTGCAAGTGGTTGGGGAAATATAGGTCACCAAGTGGTTTGGTTCATCTACCTTTTTGCGTCCCCTACCGACCGACCATCCCTCTTCCTCCCTTCCATGCGTTCTAAAAATCGCATTTGCCACTTTTCCCAGCCATTTTATGGTTCCGTGGGAGCTGCCACCAACACCACACATATGAGATTTAATTGCTGGTAGTGTCGGAAAAAGAGTCGTCTATTGGGTAATTGGTTTTCCAGGTGTGTGTGTGTGTGTGTGTGCGCCCCCGGAGAGTGTTTGAGCGGAAATTGAAGAAGTATCTTTTATTTATGGCCACAAATGAATTTAAGGGCTATAGAAAATGATTTTAAACCTTAAGGGAGAAACTTTCCATGATTCCAGGCTTCCCATCCCTACTGCTTCTCCACTGCTTTAATTCCAGTTTCAGTATTGGAAACAATACAGCTTTAAGCAGTGCAAGCTGTTGTCATGATTATACATTAGATTGCTGCTAATTCTATGAATTTCCATGAACTTTTCCAATCAATGGAATAAGGAAATCCTGTTAGAGACTCTATTCATCATCTCAGCCTTCTGCTTTTGCTTTGCCAATCAATCTTCTTGGTATTATACACTATAATCACTATAATCCACAGAGTTAAGCAGTATCTTAATGAATCTAGTCGCAGGAATGGTTTAATCGAATTGAAATCATCTTTTAGGAATGCAAAATCTCTCCATATCCTGCTCATTGGTGTGCCTCATTATATTGGGCAGTGCCGCTTTGGTTGGAGCCTTTGGCGTCTGTCAGCGTCAGATCAGTGCAATCCTCATCACAGGTGTGATGTATCTCCTGGCAGGTGAGTTCTTGGAGATCCTTTAGCCACTCAAACTTTGATAAAACTGATACTTTCAGCTCTCTTTGCACTCTTTACGCTGATGATCATCCATTTTAAGCGACAGCAGGGACGCCCAATGCTGGACAGCGACTATGATGGCACTGTGGATGGCATTGTGGCACGTCCCGGGGGAGTGGCCATCATGGCCAAGCCACTGTTGGGCGCACGGATATTCCTCACGTCCTGGAGCCTGGACTTGGGATGGGGCGGCGTTGTGCTGTGCGCCATCACCTCGGTGCTGTGGATTTTGCTGTCAAAGATCATGCGGTATAACCCATTTTCGGCTTTAATGATTTAGCTAAACGCCCTGCCGCTCGGCGGCTATGGATATGCCGGCAGCAGCTATGGCAGCTACGGCAGCACCAATAGCACCAGCAGCGGTGGCAGCTCCAGTTTCCTGCTGGCAGCCGTCACCTCGTCGCAGCGGCAAAAGGAGCATCGTGGGGGCAAGGGTAAATACATTCTGTAGAATGTGTCTCGGAGTCCTGTCCCCTGGCTTCCACCTATCTATCTTTGTTTCCATCTTTTGGTGTAATTTATACTCAAACTTATTTCGAATCGTTCTTCAACGTGTGCTCTTAATCCTTAATCTTACATTAATGTACGAAGAAAACAAAAAACAAACTCAATTGCCTTGTTCTTATATACAACTTAATCTATAATTAATTATTATTGCGGAACATTATGTACTTTAACCAAAATGTAAATTCAATTTACACTCTATCTTTACAAGTAAACCCTCTCCACCCCTTTTTGTATTCTACACGATTCTACACAACACCAGTACTAATACTAAAACTAATTCAAATCTATAACTAACTTTAAAAGCATATGTAAAATGTGAGACATTTATTTACACGAAAACAGCAACAACAACCACAAAACAGAGGCTTTTGCTTTAAATTGCTTTCTAGTAAACAGTTTCGCTTGCAATAGCGTTAATCAAACCGAAAGTAGGGAATATCTGTTCTGTATGTGGCACTTGATTAGAATTATGCCAAATGATTGGAAGATTACTGTAATTTAGGAGAAACAAATAGTCAAAAACGGAATAAAACTGCTTGCACTGCTCTCAAACGTACGGGAATGACTGGAAAAGAACTTGGAAAGTACAGCTAAAAGTTCCCCTGCAATGAACTGCTTTCACTGCTTTCAACTGTTGCTACAGCTGAACACGGCTAGAAGGAGAAGCAACTAGTGTTGAATGCTGCTTGTAACATTTTTGAACTGCTTTTTTACCAACTAAACGGCTTCTACATTTTCCCGCCTTGCTCATTATTTGGAAAGATTTTAAGAAAGTGTCACAACAGAATGTCACTAATTGTAGAAATTTACGGATACTTAGAGCTCCTCCGGGGGTACAGTTGTACACAAAATGTAGGGACGCTTTACAGCAAAAATGTATTGAGAACATCTAGTGCTTTAAATCACATGGTTTACAAAACTTATTGTATAGAAAACCAAACATCAAAAACCAAAACAAAAGAAGCTACAAGTAATAAACATGGACAACAAAAAGTGTATTTTTATGCAAACGCTTTGCCTTAAAACCAAAAAAAATACAAAGAATATAAGAAGAAAATTATTTAAATACAAGAAAAATACTTTCTTTGAAAAAGTTTACAAGGAAATGAGTGTATTTCTTGAAGGGTTTTCCTAGGGAATGGGTGTCTTCTGTGTTCTATAAATAGCAGATCGACAGATCATTTATGACATTTTTGGTAAAAATTGTATTGCAAATTTCTGCTGGCAGGCTGCAGGTTCATTAACATTTGCGAAGAGCTGCTGTGGAAACAAATTAAACAAACATGCAAATGAACTCGCGCGAAAAATAAAAAAAAAATGTAAGAAATACCAGAAGGAAGGTTTGGCTCGCAACTGAATCTGGGGATACTCTAAATGTTAAATTGTGCCTATGAGAGGTATAATATATTTGGTTGAATTCCTGTAAGCAACAAATAATTTCGCAGCCACATCACTCCCGTAAAAAAGTTGTTTCATATTTTTTTACTTTGCAAACTGCCTTTTAAATTTATATATCTTTCTTAAAAGGGTATTAAAGACACGACACTTTCGCGAGCTTTTGGCGAGACAGATGATGGAGAGTAAGACTGAGAAAGAGAGAGGGGTGAGAGCGAGCGAGATCAATAGCTAACTCGTGTGTAAATGCAGCTGCAAAATGAGACAGCAGAGAATCCAGAGCCAGGGGCGGCAAATTGAAAACAATGCAGAGAAAAGAAAATGAGAATAAAAGAAAAAAAAAACGGCATGTGTGTTTTGTTTGCGCGCGCTCTGAAAACAATTACAAAATTCGCACACAAGTACAGAAAACAGCAACAAATCGAGATTACAAAACAACGCAAAAAAGTTCATTCACCTGTGTGTGCGCTGTGTCTGTATTTGTATGTGTGCCGTTTAACGCCGAGTTTATGCGTTTGCTGGCGATCGCGATCAGTTGTGACCCCCGATGTAAGATTTCCCACGATCCCGCAGTACTGATCGCGTTGTGGTATCAGAAAAACTGCACCAAAACTCGCACTGTGTCAAAGTATTTACACAAACGGCATTCAGCCTAAGTAGATACCCTAAATGATCGTTTATTTAAAATAACTTCCTAGTTGATAGACAAAATTCCAAAGCCGACATCGCATAAACGTAAACCACTATCTGCACTTATGCATGTGTGTGTGTGTAATTGCCCGCCATTCGCCCGCGCCAACAAATGCACTAATACCGGCAAAAAAAAAAGCAACGCAATTGCCCATTGAATTAAAGCAAATACCGACAGCACGTTTCACATATTTATAGCGAAACAGAAATTGCGACAATTAATTAATGTTTAGCACATACAACATATTACCAACAACAACAGAAGCAAGAGCCAGGCCAAAACGAAATTCGCAAATTCGCGTGTCGCTGTGCCAGTATATGTGCGAGTGAATGTGTGTGTGTGCATCGGCATTTAGCCACCGAAACAGCGCAAATAACTTACCAATTCTTTGATTATTTCCACTGTTTGTACGCAAAACGTATTCGCTCAATTATGGTCTTTAAAATTGTACACAGAAAGCACTTTTAGAGCACGAAAAATACGGAAAATTGCAACAAAAGCACGAGCACCGCGCAATGCTAACCTGTGTGACCGCGGAGATAAAATATACCGTCCGACCCTCAGAAACATACCGAAACATACCATTTAATTTTTAAAAATACCATAAATATACTGACGAGCTAGAGTTCTATATTACATATTCCTCGTTTTTGATATTCCGTGGATTATTACTAACTATATAGAATATTTAGCCATGCCCACATAATTTTATCCGATTAGGGAAACTATTTTCTAAGTGCCTAGTTTTTTTTAAACACTTGCTTTTATTGCATTTTGACTAAAACAAGGTTCTTATTTTAAGAACTCATCTTTATTGGATTGTTTGTAAAACAAAGAAGGTCAACGGTAATTTCCTACTCATTTTATTACATGGTAACTCCACAATATTTACATATTAACTACATTGGCATGTAATTTGTTCAAGGGAAATGTGTACTTTTGAAAATTTGTTGGTCGTTTTTAAGATTTTGGTGGCAAACGATCAGGAATTCAATGCTGATCAAGAATTAGAAGTGGATGTAGCCTGAGACATGGCTCTAAATGGCATTTCTACACGATTTCTACGTGGATAGATATGCACAACGAGTGAGTCAATAACGGAGCTTGAAAAATACTAAAAATACTCAGAGAAAACTAAGAAAAGCTTACAAAAATGTAAGGTGTGTGAGCTAGACATGATACGCAAACCAGCTTACCTCTGATAATTATTTATACTTTACCTTTGGAACTGTTAATGGATAGTTGGAACATTGCATGAGCTAATTTGTATACTATTATACTTTAGCCTGATATTGAAATATATCGTTCCGTAGCAAAAAGTAATATTCCATTTTATAGCAAAAAATATATACCTTTAGGTATACCATAAAAATACCTTCTTCTCAATTTTGACGATAAAATATTACGAAAGGCATGTGAACGCAAGGTATAATTAGGTAAGCGAAAGCAACAATGTCCCGCAACATGAGCTAGAATGCACCCTAGAAAGAAGGGTATTCTAGTGTTGAGGAAATGTTTGTCATCTCAGGCTCCAATGAATGCAGAAACTAGTCAATCTCTGTTTTAAAGTTCATGGTCCTCTTACAGAGACTTGGAATAGCTATAGGGATCGAGATATGTATACGGAAAAGAAGCAAAAAAAACAGCAGCTTGGAAAACAAAATTTAAACAAGAGTTACAAAAAATAGGGTATTCCAATGTCCATACTCAGTAAAAATGTTGTCGATATGTAGCAAATCTGTAGTTGCCGTGTAGTTACCAACCAATTCGAAAAATTCAGCCATCGCGAGCGGGTGCTGTCGTGCGCGAACATTTTACAAAACGTTCGAAGCTCATTTCCATTTGAATAACGACAAGTGCAGTGCTTAAATTATAACTAAAAATTAAACAGAGCAGCTCCAAATACAATTGTTACATTGAAATTCCACTCAAAACTTGCTTTAGGTTAGAGCTAGAGTTTTATAAACAACCCTTCGTTATTGTTAAATATTTATACACACCACCGCCCGACCGCCGACCGCCCCGCGGAACGTACGCACATTACGTGTGGCGCCAACAATACATATGTAAAGGGAGAAGCAGCAGCGATAACGAAACCAACCCAACAACAACAACTAAAATTATTGTAAGTGAATTCCTATGTGCTTTTACTTCTTTACTATTGATTTTTGTTTCGATGGTGGCCCCCAAATGTTTTTGCCGCCTTTTGTCACGTTTTTGTTTTGATTTGTGATGTGTATTATGTGTTTTTGTCTCTCTGTTGGTATGCTTTATCATTTCCTTCTTCTTAGATTGAGTCCTCAAACAGTGTGCGAGAGGGAGAAGGAGTGCATGCGTAGAGGGGCTGTTGATTCACCTGCTGAGGTATTTCTGGCACCCTAACAGAGCGTATTTTCAATTTGAGGAGGTGTTTGCAGTGCAGCTTTGAAAATCCCATAAATCCCATACTAAATTGTAGTTCCACACGCTTCATAGAAGTTAGTTTTATATATTTCCACATAGAACTCAATTTCGCACAAATCTATAGAACCGAAACTGCGTTCGCTGGCTCCGAAAGGGTATAAAAGCTTCACCTTGGTATTTTATTGTCTGCCAGCCTCTCAGCTGCTGCTGCGACAAACAGCAACAACAACAACCGTAACACACGATAAAGACGCAGCAGCTTTCGTTATGGCAGAGCAATAACCGGTTTTTTCCTTTATCGAATTTCGAAACTGTGCTAATAACTTTTTCGCTGCTTGCTTTGTTGTTTTGTTGTTGTTTCTGTTGGCTTTTCGCAAACAATTAAAGAAAACTAATCGGGTGCCAAAGAGCGATAATTTCACAAAAGAGCTGCAGTTGCAAATTAATCTATTTTTCGCCCCTGTTTCGGCCGGCAGACACAGGAAGTACGAGTGTATTTCGCAAACAAACAAAAAACTTTGCCACTTAAAACGTCACTCCATTGCCAAGCTTTATTTTTACCGTTGCCTGCAAATGATGGAAGCTTCCTCTTTTTCACCCACTATTTCTGGCACGACATAACGGCACTACTGTAGGCAATTGTGCGATGAGGGGGAGGGGAAATGCAGCAGCAGGCAATTTCTTTGGACATAAGCTCCTGCACACACGCTCTTTCACTCCACTGCGGCTCCAAGGATAACACGTTCGTCATGCCGCAAAATCGATTTTCAACAAAGACCGACAATACCTTGGAGAATCCATGCCTCCTCCCTCCACCCCATTCGGCACGTGATGTGGCGCCTGGCCCGGGAATAAAAATGGGAACTTTCAACCCGTCGTCTGTCGTCTGTCGGGTTGCGCAAAAATTGCGGTAAAAACCGACGCGGGGCGAAATCAGCCGGAAATAAACTGTAAATTAAAGGGGACACTTTTTTTGGGGCAACGTTTTTGTGGGCTGACAACCACTTTGTCCACAAGATAACTTCGAGAGATAACTCTATTGAGGGTGTTTTGTCTATGAAGCAGGGGGATTATCGCTGCCTTGTAGCGTTGTTGTAATTGGAAATAAATTACGTTATTTTGCTGTACAAATTTCCCCTAAGCGAACATTTATTTTAAATATCTAAAAACTAGAGATCTTTTGTTTTTAAAAATCTTTGCGCAGTAACAAATCAAATGTTGAAGGACTTTCCCAAACTTTCAGCTGTGCATTTTCATAGTTTCGCCATTTATTTGAAAACCAAATGGAAAATTGCATACCAATCGCCGGCGCCAGTCGGAATCCCTAGGAATTCAATCACTTTCGCTTGGCAACCAAAGAATTTTCTGCTCAACTTTTTTCTACTCGTAGTTTTTCCCCACACAAACTTTGAACTATTCGTGGAATATTTTGTTTCCCCAATTTATTTTCTCTTTTTCTCCGATTTTCCGTTGCGAGAAGCAAGGAGTCTGCTGCCGTCTGGCTCTGATGCCCCCAGAGGTGGGATGTTGGTGGTGGTGCTGCTGGCTGCCGCATGAAGTTGTTCTGTCTGGGACTCCCAGCCACCAACTGGCGGTCTTCCCAGGCTCCTGCCTCCATCCTCTACCACGACCATCCTTTGTTGTCTCGATGGCTGGTTTTATGACGTAGTTCTGGTCCGTGGTCCTCTGCTCATGTGGATGTTGAAGTTGAGAAGTTTGTTTGTCCGGGCTCTACGGCTCCACAGCTCCACAGCTCCGTAGGAGAAGAGTTCATTCTTCTTTAATGCATTAGCTTGCCTGCAGCAGAAGCTCTGTATAAATATTGAATTTCTATATTTGTTTAACTCGAATACAGAGTGGGGTTGTTCTCTATCATTAAGTGGCTGGAGGGGAGGCGGGGACTGCTTCTCTCAACAATAGGAAAAACTCTATTCAGCTGAAAAAGTTTCCAGCTCATTAAAAACAATTTGTCTGGCGAACATTTATAGAACTTTTTTTTGGTCTTTTTGTGTGGCCTTTGATGAAGAGAAGTTTAGCAAAAAAAAAAAAAAAAACAAAAACCACCCACAGCGAAGCGGAAGCATTCGACCAGCAACAAAATGCACAAATAAAATTTTTGCTAAATATACAAACAAATTTTGCCAATTTTAAATTAATGGCGAAGAACCGCAAACAAAAAGTTCAATCAATGAAAACAGGAAAGACTGGAGGAATAATCATGTGTATATTATTAAAAGTATTACTAAGATAAGAAAGGTTCCAGCATGCATATTTTATAAATGAATTTATTTATGGGGTTTCTCTTTCTTTATGGCTTTGTCTAAGCATTCCCCCGAATGCATTAGTCAGCCAAATGATTGTATGACTCAACAATCAAACAGGGGACTAAACCGAATAAAATTCAAATTAAAATGTGGCCAAAAGAAGGACAGGCAGACGGTCAGGGGTCAATTAACGCCGCAATAGAGAGAGAGAGAGAGAGACATCAACCCACCACCTGGAAAAGAGACGCCTGTCCATCCAGTGGGCAGACATTTGACACCAGAAGCAAACGACGTGGACGACGATGGCCATGACTTGGATTGGGAGTAGGAGTAGCGGGGTTTTTGGAGGTTTGCCTCAGGCACGGGCCCAAGCACAGTCTTGTTGTTTCTTTGTATTTGCTGCCACAATACAGTTCTTTGGCCCCACCGTCGGCTGTCCGGGCCTTGACTCCGTTTGAATTGTCTTTGTCCATTACAAAAATTTAATTTAATATGTAAGTCCCACACCCAGTCACCATTCCGCAGATATTCGCTTGTCTGACGGGTTTCTCTTCAGCAAATTTGCATAGGAAGGAGTTGGAGTTGTCTCTTATTTGTATGCCGCACAGCGCGGGGCCAAGCCCCCAAACCCAAACTCAAACACAAACCCAAACCCCAAGAGGCAGCCTTTGTGGAGTTTGTGGAGGCTTCTACATTTAATTTATTCATGTAGGATTAGTTGTCGTGTATAAATCGCCACAAAAACATTGACGACAGGCATGTCCGCTACCTGGATCTCCATTCAATTATGGAAATTGTTTTTTGGAAGGAAAAAAAAGGGTATTAGGAAAGGCAGACAATCAGTGTGAGAACTTTTATGGGGTTTTTCTTTAATCACAGCCAAGAGGATTATCCCCCACAATCTGTTGTTTCTTTCGGCCAACTTCAAACCAAAACTTGCCCCAAAACAATAGACATTTCCACTCCACTCCCCTTTTTTTTTCGTTACTATTTCACAACAGCTGCTTCTAAGGCTTAGGCCTTGCCTTGCCCCACATTTTCTTGTATTGTACGAGTACTTCTTCGACTCTGGCTGCTCCCTCCCAAATGGGTTTTCATTTTGGGCCAAGTAGCGCGACCTCAAAAGCCCGAGGAGAATGAGTGGAAAACATGCAAGCGGAAATTGCAACGAGGGAAACGAGAGGCTTAGGGGTGGAATCAGAAAGGGAGCTCCTCCTCGCTGGAAAGCAATAAAACAAAAGGAAACCTGCCCCCGATCTTTGTGTTGCACTTTCAGTTTCGCCGCGCTGTCAATTTTCAGAGTGGGAATTGAGTTGCACTGCCACTCAGAGATGCGGTGATGGATATGGATGTGGCTGCAGCCGGGGGGCAGCCGGGGGCAGCGGCAAACTCCATTAATTCAAATTGTTGCAACAGGAAATGGAGCGTACCACGCACCGTATGAAAAAAATATGCCAATTAGATGGCAATTTAAGAAATGTTTCGCCCATGTTTGGGGGAAACGATAAAGAGCTTACCCCTTGGCTCCTCTTTCTTTCTTTCTTTCTTTAAAATTTCTCCCCGTATGGGGGACGTCACGCTATATGCCAGGCCATGTCGTCGACCCCCAACAGGCGATCCATCATCCCCTTCTGGAGGGGTCAAGGAACCTCCTTTTGTGATTGTTTTCCATGCGGTTTAGGTTTACATTATGTAAAATTTTAATAACCCGATTTTAATGAAGCCCCAAGCGGCTCTTGGCTCTGGGGGGCGGTTTAAGAATGCATTATTTATGCAGGCAACAGCTTTTCCAATGAGTGGTCCAACACCTGTTTACATATTTGCTTGCCCTTTGTCGTCTAATGGAGGCAGAGAAGGGCTTTCATAACCAAATGATTAATGAAAGAGTTCTGCAATTGTTCTCTGCATTCACAGGCCCATCGGTTGAAGAAAAGAGTTCTATAATCTCTATATAAAGCTCTGAAAACCTACCCATACATACGAGTGCATATTTCTTAATGAATTTATTTACTTTTGTACACATTTTCTTAATCATATTTATGGCTTGATAGGCCTTCAGGGGAATGGAAAATTATGGCAAATCAGGAAATGAGAATTAAGCTTTTTATATTTTTTTTTTTTTTTGAGAGATTATTGTTTATTCGGTTCTGTGGTTGAGGCTGGCTGCCCGGGGTCTGCCCTGTGGTTTATGGAACCGGTTTTCCATATACGAAAAAATTCAATAAATGCATAAAGAATATGCACTTTTAAAAATAGTATCAGAGGGATTATGGAGATATTTTTAAGGCAAGAAAATGCTTGAATAAATGATAAAGTTGCAGTTAAAGATACTTTTGGTATATTATTTTCAACTTAAAACATTTGTTATTCCATCTTGATCTTCAGACGGCCTTCAACTTTCTTTTGGGTGTGGAAAACACACACACACACACACACAGCACACGCAATGAATGCATTGCCCACAAATTTTCACTTTCGTGTGTGTCTCTGCTTTTCTTTTGTGTTTTTGTCTGGCTTTGGCTTTTCAGCGAGCGATGATGCACTTGACTTGTGCTAAGACCTCCCCACCATAGAAAAACGCCAACAAACGGCCTGCACCTTGAGATTCCATGGGGCTCTGTCTCTCTCTCTCTGTCTCTCTCTGTCTCTGCTACTTGTTGTCACCATCTTCTGCTGCTCGTGGCTTTCCATGCAGACCAAACCACCGAGACAGTATCTCTCTCTCTCGCGCTAAACCCCACTTTTCTGACGACTTGTTTGCTTATGGCTTTAGCACGCACGTCTCTCCCGCTCTGGGGGCCACCATGGCATTAAGTCAACACTTTTGAATATGCACAAAAGCCAAAAACAAACATAAAAGAATCTCTCTGGGCGGAGGCAGAGAAACCTCAGACGGGAGACTCTTTTCAAACGATGAAGAGACCTTGCCCCGTAGTCTGTTGATGCCACATCTAATTAACCCACAGAGTAAACACAGATTCCCGTGGTAAAAAGTATCTCTGATTAACTTCTCGTGTGAATTGATTAACAGGAAATGCGGTTAAAAGCCTTGTCGTATAAATATTTCCAGGGAAATCGCTTGAATTCTAAACAAATTGTGCACGTTTGAGGATCGAATATAGACCACTTGAATACCTGGGATTACCGGGGATACATTATAGATTGATTCAATCGTTATAAGTTTGGAAATTTGGGTAGAAAATGTTTTTATCTGTACAACTACCAAAAACCAGAGCAATATCTGTTAAAATATAAGTGCTATGATCTTTTAAACGACAGATAGATGATCAAAATCGAAATCTAGGCCAAGAATGGATCTCTATATCGAATTGGGACTGATCAAGAGACAGCCAATCGAAGGATTCCAGGCAGAAACCTAGCCGAACAACTGAGGGGTACTGCTGCATGTGGCGTGACACGTTTTTCCCACTGTAAAATAAATATATGTGCATATATTGCAATCATTTTTCTCTAGAATTACCAGGTATAGCATTCCCACATATTCCAAAGATAGAGATGAGGTTAAGAATCAGTCTGGGGTCTGTGGTCTGGGATCTGGGCTTCTGATGGCCCCCATATGCGGCGGCTAGTGGGGCGGCCCGTCGTCTCGATTATTTATAGTTTGAGGAAACTCATTTCGTTGTTTATTTTGGGTTTTTTCGAGCATAAACAGAAGATGTGGCAGCAGCAGCAGCAGCAGCTCACGAGATCTGCTCCACATTTGAGATAATATTTATACACATACATATATATATACTCGATCTTTTATACGGTGCTGTCGTGCCCCTCCCCAGACCTTGCACAATGCTCCTCTTGTCCCGGCCTGGTACGAGTATTCGTCCGAATAGTTTCCCCATTTCCATGCTTGATTCGTTTCGAGTGTTGAAACATTCGATGCGCCCCAAAGTGTCGATTGATTGCGGCGCACGCCTCACAAATTGTGGGGATCGTATGTTGATTTAGAGGGAGTGTCGCTTTTTGAAACGATTAAATGTTGTTATTGCACTGACGGAATGCCCAGATTATGGAGGAGATCGTTCTAATTGAAGACCCACTTGTATTTGTGATATAACTTGAGGTTCCATTCATTCCTCACAGCACGTGCTCTCGTCTGTCAGGTGGACAATGGCCTCACATTAAATATTATTATGTGAGAGGTTCTCTCTCACAATAGCATCATCAGCGTCATCTTCAAAAGATGAATGAACACAAAAGTTGAACGAGAATCGAGAGGGAAAACACTGGGAAAAATAAGAACATAATACTCTGCGTAATGCCTTCAAAAAACTGGAAACTGGATGCTAGAATAGATCTGTTGTTGTTTTGTGTTGAATATTCTCATTTACCTTTGGACTCCGTCATGCGGCAGTGCCCCTCGGTGGGCTATTGCATTCCCTGCCCCATTCTACTGCGCGTACAAGTGGTTTCCAGATCGACATAGTTAGAACATACTGAAGTCTTTTCTCGCAGTGACTCGAACGTCTTTTGTATGTCAAGTGGTGATGACTTTGATTGACGCTGCTACGCGGTGGAGGAGGAGGAGGCAAGTAGGAGCTGTGGCAGCCTGTAAGCTGGAGCTCAGTTCCGCTCAGGTGGGGCACAAACTGGAGCACAAACGACGGAGAGTCAGGGGCAAAACTGTGGCCTGTGAGCATCGATGTTGGCGTTTGGTGGCGGACGCGACTCTTGCGGTGCCGCCTGTGGCTTGTAATCTCACTTTGGCTGCACATTTAATCGCATATTGCATATTGCAGTACACATTGTTGTGGCCAAATTGAAATGTTATGCAGTGGCTGTGGGGGCGGAGGCGGAGACGGAGGCAGCAATGGCTGTGGCTATGGCTGTGGCGATGGAGTGGAGGCTTTTTCAATCATCCGATTGATTGCCATTGGCTCTGGTGTGCATACAGTTGGCTGCACTTCAATAGGCTTGCCACTGCCACTGCCACTGCCTCCGCCACCCTTCCTCCCTCCCCGCCTGTGCCGCCTCTGGCTTTGTCTTGACTTTTTCAATTCATTTTGATTTGTATCTTGGAGAGCAAAAATGGAAATGTAATTTGGGTTAATTCGATTTTAATGCATTTACTTGCAGCGTGGGTGTGGATCTGTGCAGATCAGAACAGATCGGATCCGATCAGTTTTCTGTTGCCTGTGCCTGTGACTGTACTGTCGATTGATTCCTGATTGATTAAGAAGAGGAGGTCCAATCAATTCAAGGTTTCTGCTTCAAACTTTGAGAAGTGCATAGAAAGGCTCCTTAATCGTCATACACCTTCTCTTCATGCCCGCCTGCCTTCAATTGCGTGCCACCAATCTTCATGCCATAAATTAAAGCAAGTGTTATTGTTTATTTTTTATTTGTCCAGCATTTGGCGAAATAATTGCCGCCTGCCTGTCATCAAGAGCACTTTCACGCTCTGAACACATTTTCTGCTGCTGCTGCGCTGCGGCTTTTGTTGTTGATCGTTTATATAAATCGTTTTGTGTGTAGGAAAAACATCATCTCGGGGCTCTCCAGAGAGCAATTGCCGTTGAAGATTAGCATTTTATGGTGGCTTCAAGTAGGAGAAAATTGTAGTGGAGAGGCTTGCATAATGGTTGTGGCAATTAAAATGGGAATGAAGGTTGAGCAAAGGTAGATTCATAACTACTCTACGTTGTAAGTGCTTCCGTTTGTGGTATTTTGTGCCCTTCAAATGCTGTCCTCCATTTGTTTCTACCCTCCAGAATGGTGTCTTTCATATGTTTTTACCCTTCAAATGTCTATCATCCTGCAGAATGGTGTCTTTTATTTGCCGGTTCCCTTATGGAACTCCCATATGATATCATCTTTCAGTTGAATGCCAGAACTTTTGAGACTCGAAAACTTAACAGCTGCTGCTGGGGGGTTCTGGTTCGGGTTCGGGTTCGGGTTCGGGTTCGGGTTCGGTTTCTGTTCATTCATTAATCATCAGAGCACACAAACACACACAAAAAGAGCGAAGAGAGGAGTATAGAGGGGGGGATTCCGCATACGAAATGAGTTGCAAGACGGGGCACTGGGGGAATGAATGGGCTTTTCAGCAGGCAGGTACTGTCTGTCCTCTAATGAGGCTGGAATAAAGAAGGAGGAGGAGGATGATGGCCTGCGGCAACTAAAAAGCACATCCTGTCATTAGAATGCCACGAGATGCTGGATTCTGGCTGCTGGCTGCCATCTGCTGCTTCTATTGCAATTTAATTTTTTTATGCCTCATTTAATTGCATAATTTATTGATAATTAAATGAAACCCTCTCTCTCTCTCTGTCTCTTGTTGTAGGAAACAGAAGCCGCAAGCTCCCACAACAATTGCCCCGCAAATGAGGTGAACGAACTGCTGTCCACTGGTTATCCCTCCAGCATCCCAGCAGCACCACCCGCTCGCCAGTAATTAAGAGGCTCTGCCGCCTCTCTCTAATTGGGAGCTAAGATGCCTTCACTCCGTCAGAAGGTCACCACGTACTTTCGTCAATTGAGCTTCATTGCAGAGCCCCGCGAGGGTCGTCGTCGTGGCAATGCAAACGATGGCGATGACGATGGCAACTTCATAACCAAATATCTCGAGGGGTAAGAGACTCGCGATTGGAATCGTTAATTGAATCAAAATTTAATAGAAATCTCCCTCTCTTACTGTGACAGGCGCATGCAACGGCAGTTTGTGGATGGCCCAGAGATCTACAATGGACAGAATCCCACAGAGATGCCCGTACTGAAGCTGGGAGGCTATGAGGCTGGAACCTGCTCCATCACGGCCGCCTGCACTGGTCCCGACGAGGGTTTGACGGGGATCAAGCGCTCGAAGCTCCATCTGAGTGCCAGCTATGCGGACGACATTGATTTCATCGATACGCAGCAGGAGAACGAGGATTGCTATGCAACGGCACGGCCTCCTGCTGCAGCCACACAGCAGAGCACCTCCGCCACAAGGCTCACGAATAAATTTGGCCGGCCACAGGGGGGGCCCAGCGGCGGCGGTGGTTCCCGCAGACAAAGCAATGCTGGTGACCAGCAGGTAGGAACGGCCTCCACATCGGGCATGCGTTCGCGCAAGAACTCCAAGAGCAGTATTGCAAATCTCGCGGCGGCGGCTTCCGGAGATACCGGAAAGGCCAGCACCTCCTGTGTTTCGTCGCAGGACCAGAACAACAGAAATCTGTTGAATGCAAAGACTGAGGCCTCTGCGGATGCCAGCCCAAATTCGGAAAGGGAGCGTCTGCTCCGCGAGGCAGTAAGCAACCAGGGTGGCTCGTCCGCCACCTCATCTCCTCCTGCGATCGTTGCTGGCGTGGAGAACTGGCGCATGGAATGCGACTTTGCCTACGGAATCTCTGTGTCCCTCTACGAAACGAATATGCTAACGAAGGAGCCCATGGGTAATCCCATTGCCGATTGTTATGGCATGGTAGTGCGTGGGGATTCCGCTGCAATGGCCATGGCAGATGGCGTCAATTGGGGTGAGCCCGCCGAAGATATACCCCTTAATCCCGACTCGAATTTAATCCCTACTCCTTTTGCAGGTGATGGAGCTCGTCTGGCCGCTCGTTCGGCCGTCCATGGCTGTCTGGACTACCTAGATCGGGCGGTTTTCGGACAGGCACAGGAATGCAGGGCCACCACAACGCAGGAGGTGTTTGTGAGTCTCCTGCGCAGCCTGTGGGAGGGTCATGGCTGCATACTGGAAGTAGGAGGCGCACTGTCCACACTCACCATTGCCGTTGTGCTGCCGCTGGACGGTGCACCCGGAAAGTATGTGGTGTGCTCCTGCAATGTGGGTGATTCCCTGGGCTACGTGTACTCCAAGAAGCACGGGGTAAGGGAGTTGACCCAAGCCTCCCACGACATCAGTTCCATGAGGGACATGCGTGATGCACTGGGGGCCTTGGGCCCTGCAGATGGCAACAAACCGGAGCTCAGTAATCTCACATTTACAATGAGCTGCATCGAGAGCGGGGACATTGTGTTCCTCACATCGGATGGGATAAGCGATAACTTTGATCCGGTGGTGGGGAAATTCGCCGAGGCCTGGACACCCGATGTGAAGCTGCAGACATCGGTGGGGAAGCCCTCAAGTTTGGCGCCCAAGCGGCAGAATAAGAGCGCCTCGGCGATCTATGCACGTCTGCATCCATCAACGCCTCCCACACGACCAGCGAGGCAGGCAAAGGCGAGCAGTCCGCCCAGCAATGCGCCCAGTCGTCCGAAATACATGCGCTCCCAGACGCTGATTGAACCACGGCAGGGACTGGGACCGCCAGCCTCTGTGACGACAACGCCGCAGCGCATACCCAAGTCGATCTCTGGATTGCCTCTCGTGACGGGACCGCAACGACATGCCCTGACACTGTATCGGCTGGAAGATCTTCTTAGTTATGGCATCAATGGCACCTTCTCGCCCTGCGCTTCGGCGAGGCGGCTCTGCCACCTGCTCATCGATTTCGTGCGAATGATAACCTCTGCGCGCCGCAAGACCCTGGAACAGAGAGAGCTCTTCTACAAGCTCTCGACGGGACCCGATGGGGCCAAGCGGGAGGTGCAGCTCAATCGAATGCAGCATCGAGCGGCCAGGAAGAGGGTGGTAGACAGCAGTGCCTTCGTGGCGCTGCCAGGGAAACTAGATCATGCCACAGTGCTGGCCTACACAGTGGGAGGCGGAAGACCGGAGGGAACATCACACAATGGAAACGAAAATGAGGGAACGACGACACTTTCCCCCGTGCTACAATCCAAGGAATTTAAGGAGACAAATTTCTAGACTGCAGAACCAGCTTTTGGATATACTTTTTCTCACTCATAAATTTACATATGTATACCCTCACATCATATATAGTATATATACAAACGATATACATGATTAGTTATATATTGTATCTCTATATCTTTGATATTCATATTACGCTTTAAGTTTTGTTGATTTTTGATTTCTTGAATATTCGATGCTACTCATTTGTCAGCCATAGATTTTGTAGCCATTTATTTGTACGACAGAAATGCCTCAAATGTTTTAAACTACCAAAAAAAACAAAAAAAAAAACTGAACACAGAATAAGAAAAACACACAAAATGTAAATCATATTTTTACACTTCCCTCCTTCATTCGTAAAACCTTTTTACACCCTCCCATACCATCTGTTGAGATGTGAAATATGCTTTTAAAGAATAAGTCCCCAAAGTAGGGTCCAATCGAAGATTAAACAGCACATAGATGAAGCATAACGAAGAGAAGGAGAGTGTGTATGCTGTAGATGTGTTCTCTAATCTTTGGTTCCATATTTTTCTCTCTCTCTGGAAAAAACAGATTGATTTGGCGAGCAGAAAGGTGTAATTTTTGGTAAACGCACAGCTTAAATTAAATGATAGCTGTGGCAAACGGGCCTGCCGGCAATCGTATTATTGAATAAACGCATTGGGATACTGCGCTTTTACAAAACTCTTTAAACAAATTTCGTTTCATTTTGCAGTCAAAAATTGTATCAAGTCTTTATATATAAACATACATTTGTAATTGCACACAAAAATGTCAGCTAAAAAAGCACAAAACTGAAGGTATATCCAGGCCTTGAATCCGTAAAAGATTCATGCATATTGGGGTATAAGAATATGTAGAGTAATCTCAGCAGGCAGCTAGGCTTTGCTTTCACTCAGGAGCTCCATCCCTCAGCTGTTGCGCATGCGCAGGAGTAGCTTTGCAATGGCCTGTGCCTGCGCTGGTGCCACATCCCTCAATTGTTTGTACAACTGCTCTACAACGCGTAAGGTTTGGGGCTGCATAATTAAAGGTAAATATCACAAAAAAAATATATATTGTGCTATACATACTAGTGTCTTTGTATCGAGCTGCGTTTGCGATTTGTTGGCCAAGAGCCAGAGGTTCAATGCCAATTGGGACACAGTTTCCCTTTCCAAATCCGCATAGCGTACAATCCTTAAGAAAAGATCTAGGGATAGCTCTGCCTGCTGTCGCTGCTGATGGGCCACACCAAGGGCCTTGAGCTGCAACAGAATGGCATCCACCACTTGCACACACAGATTGTTGATCTCCGCCAGAAACTTGGGATCATGGCCATACAAATCATCGTTGGAAACCACACCCTTTATGTGATAGGGATACTTTTCCAGCGACTGCACATAGAGCATGTCCAAGGCATGCAGATAGATGACGCTCGGCGCCGTGCTGTCCGCCTTGAACTCATGCTTCCCAATGACATCTAGGAGCAGACGCAGAAAGTACAGCACTCCCTGCTCTGGACTATCGGGCACCACAATCAATGTGGCCAGCATGTTGCACAAATATGAGACTAAGTAGCGCTCCAGGCTGCGCGGTTTACCCTCAAAGTCCACGGTGGCGGCAGGCAAATCATTCACCAGCTGCAAAGCGGCCTCAAAGCAGGCATCAGCTAAGGAAAAATAGCTTATTTAAACAGAAATTGATTCCTTAATTAAGGAAATGCCTTACCCTGTCCCAAGCACAGATGCCTGAGGGCTAGCTGACCGCACAGCAGATACAAATCCATTTGCTGTTGGACAGCGCTAATGCTCGGAATGGTTATGAAACAATAGGATATGCAGGCCTTGATGAAACCCGTGGATCTTGAGGTATTACGTGTGGCCAACTTGCAGGCAGCATGCACTAGGGTGACATACACCGCATCCAGATTGCTAAAGGTGCCCCTAGCCTCCACATAGAAGCCTAGCTGCTGCTCCAAGTCGCGACCAAAGTGTACTTTGTGTATGAAGACATTGATGAGCTGCGATATCTGTCGTCTCTCATCTTCCACGCTGAGAGCACTGAACGAAGAGCACACCAATATCAATGAGGAAATTGTTTCTAAGTCACTAAAGTTTCACCTACTTCACAGAATCATTGAGAATCTTTCCCAGATACATCAGAGCATTCGTGACCACCGCATCGCAGGTGTATTCCTCGCTGTTTTGCTTGTAGTATGTGAGTATTGTCTTGCACACCTCCACGCGCACTGATTCCTTTTGAAACAGGTCCAAATAGGGCAAGAAGTTGGGCTGTATCAGCAGCAATTCAATGCTGCGGTAGTTCTGCATAATCCTCGACAGAATGTTCTGCAGTTGCGGATAGTGCTTCTCATAGGCCTTGCCCAAACACATGCGTGTATTCAGCTCTCCCAGCAAACGATTCACTTCGTGTATCTGTTGAAACATAATCAATAATTAGTTATTATCTAGAGTTTAAGCCACGCTCTTAACGTACGGTAAAATACTGCGATACAAAGACAGCCCAGGTCTCCACACAGTTGATGTATTCATTCGGATCCGTCAGCTTGTTGATGGTCTCAAAGGCGGCCTTTAGAAAGGTCACACGCTGCTCCTGCAGCGGGGCACAACTGCTGACGCAGCTCCCTAATGAACGAAGCAGCTGGGATTTTGATATTCCCGGCGTCTCTGAGGTATTTATCAGCTCTACAAACTCCAATGCATTTGTGGCAATGAACTCGGATGTGAAGGAACTCAGAATGGACATCAGTATTGCGCCGCTGGCAATGTATGGAAGAGTTTGATTGGGTTTCATTGAAAGATATGGACGCCTACTCACTTGTTCTTCAGTTGTTTGCACTCGTTGAGCATATCCTGCGTGTGAAGCTCGCATTTGTGCACTAAACACAGCAGCATATAGTCGAATGCTGGTGCATATAGCTGTAGATACGAGCTGGCGGTGACAATCTCCGGATGCAGATTAAAACGTGCCACAAATCGAAAGATCTATTAAAAAATATTGATCAAATAAAGCCATTAAGAGTACTTCCTCTCACCTGAGGGTAAACAATGAACAGATCACCGAAATTTTCACGAATATATGTCTTGCTGGGCGTTACAGTCACGCCCATGCGCACTAGATAGCAACGCGCATAGGTGGAAACGAGGGGATCCGCAATGCCCCTCAATTGATGCGTTAGACGTCGCAGTAACTTCTCGTATTCCTCGCGATCGGATGTTAAGAACTCATAGCACTTGAAGATGGACAATTCCAGGTACAAGCGCGGAAGCAGCTCTCGTATGGAGGCAATCTTATAGAACCAATTCTGGCACGTATCCCGAGCAGCTTCACGTTCGCGTTCCAATGTGGCCGCCGAAGCACCAGGCAGTCCCGATGCCTTGGCCTGGAGTCTGTCGTACACCAATTTTCCGAAGACATCCAAAATGTCCGTAATGAGGACATACTGGCTGGGATAGAACTGCAGGACAGTGGTGTCTGCCAACATCTTGGCACACTGTATGGCAATCTTCAGAGCCTTCACTCGTTGATCGTTGTGCCAGGATTGGGTGAGCTCCTGCTTGAGTTGCTCGAATCTCTGAATGTATTCCGGTTGCGTGAGGTCCATCATGTGGCGCATAGTGCCATCATCGAAATGATCCAGCTGCTCCAGCCGATACTTGGTCTTGTCTGCCACCACAGTTTGTGCTTTGACTGGGATTAAATTTGTTAGGAGAGGCCCAAGAGAGTATTCCACACAACTTACTGCTTTCATTGCCGCCGTCCAAGCTGCCAGAGGCGACCAGAAAACTGGTCGATAGCGATAGCTTCTCATTGGTAGTGAAGCGATTGAGAATACCCAAGCGCCTTGTGCTCCATTGCAGGGTATTATCTTCTGGCTCTATTCTATCACGTTCGCGACGCTTCGACTTGAGGTCCTGGGGAAGAGGAAGGTTTAGTCCAAAGGTGGTTGGGGGATTGTGCACTTACGAGTTCGCTGACCATTTGGGAGAGTGGATCATTCAGTTCTTCATCTTGGCGCGCAAATTGCGAGAGCGGATCAGTACCCTCCAGAGCCAGGCTCAAAGGATTAATGTCCACCACCTGGTTACAAGAATTACGAGTATTTATAAATTCAAGTCATAGAGGGCGTCATATTCCAAAACTCACCGTGACTGTCTGCTGTTTTAGCGGATGCTCCAGCGTGGCACGGCCAGCCAAGTGGTTTTTTCTTACTTCATACAAACGCGGCACGCACACCCTTCAGTCAAATGGGATTATAAATCAACAATTAGTTGTATATTTTCCTTGAAAACCTACCAATCCAAATTCGACATAGCGTCCTGGTTGTTGTTGTCGGCATCACAGACACAGCTGTTCAATATGTACAGCTTCGCGGCGACTGACCATATGACCGCGCACGCTGTGAATGGCAAAATCCAGCTGTCAAGCGACGCGTTTACTTTTTGAGCTCGCAGTTTTATTGTAAAAAGTGCAAATTGTTACACTTGCAACCAAAAAGATGTCGAAGTCGTCGTTAAAACATTTGAAAAGCACTTGCCGGGTGTGTGCCAAGTATGCAAGCATCAAAAGATCCCCTCGCTTGTTTGACAAATCAAATCCAAAGATGGTTGAGAACATTGAGACGCTCACTGGATTGCGGGTACTGTATTTTTGCGCCAGAAATTATTGTGAATAGTTTTAGCAACCATACTTTTCGTAGCTGGAGTCTTTTGGATGTTTACCTGAACTAATTTGCGAATGCTGCGTAATGGAACTAAGTGCTGCAACCAAATTTCGCGAGCGTTGCATTGGCGCCCAACGCAGTCTCCTGATGGGACTAACCGAAGAACAGCAAAGCGTGATACCCGCGTACTACCAGGCCGCAGTCTTGGGCACTGACGTCGAGGTGATGGAGGAGGCGGACGTCGACAAGAGGGCCCAGCCCCCCGAAGAGGTCGAAACTGTAGAAACTTATATGGATGATATAGAAGCAAAAGAGGAGGGTGAGGAGGAGGTGGATATTGGTGAAAAAATCGAATACGACAATGAATTCTTCGACGATGCCGAAAACAACGTGACGGAGGACGACGGAGCATCGCTTATAGAGGAGGCCGAATACGAAAGCCTCATGGCAGACGAAGATATTGAGGAACAAAGTCATCAGGAGACAGAAATGATAGATGCTGCTGGGGAACTTATTACAGGCGATGGAAATGAGGGCTATGTTTACGATTCTGATGACGAAGTGGCCGTGCTGGACAACGTCCTGGACGATGAGTATGAGCATGAGAACATCGTTGTAAAGAAGTCCAGTCTGCCGCCCAAACCGAAAGTACGTTCTGACGATCCACGCCGCCGCGGAACAGGCGGCGTCTACATTTGTGAGCAGTGTGGCAATCACATCAAAGGCCGCATGGCCTTCGAGCTACACTGTCGTCGCCACCGCGGCGATAAGCAGTTTGGTTGCGAGTGAGTATATCCCACCCGACAGAAGCTATAATCTCCATTAAATTGCATATTGATTTGTAGACTGTGCAACTCTCGCTTCTGCACCACGTCCGAACTGAAGCGCCACATGCGTAAGCACACCGGAGAGCGTCCGTTCGCTTGCCAGTACTGCGGACGCTGTTTCACCGATTACACCACTCGCGTTAAGCATGAGCGTACCCACACCAATGAACGTCCCTATGTCTGTGGCACATGCGGCAAGGCTTTCACCACTGGGTACATTCTTAAGAACCACATGTTAATACATTCCGGCGAGCGCGCTTACAGGTGAGTAAAGTGCTGAATCCGCCCTGGAATTGCTTTGAAAAACTTATTCGATTTTGAAGGTGCGAGCTGTGCGACAAGTCTTTCATGCTCCCCACCCATCTGAGTACACATTTCCGTTCGGGAGTGCACAAACGGCATATGGAGAAGGCCGGGATTACACTGGAGAGAGAGCAGAAAAAGGAACTTAAATTGGAGGATGTGGAGGAGGATAGTTTAATAGTTTAGGACTAGAGATGCACCATTATAAATTTAAGCTTGGCGCGATTATGGATTATACAGACAAATAGCATTTCAGCAATAATATAATAAATTTGACTTGTTGTAATAACACTTTATCATTAATAAACTCTATCCTTCAAGTCGAACAAAATCATTGTTTTTATAAAACAAGTGTGCGTTTTTTTGGACCTGCAACGGAACTGGAAGTAGCGCGCTGTCATCGATGTTGCCCAAAAAAACAACCCTGCATGGAGCGAAAAAGGCCCTTCTTAGATTTTTATAATTTGTACGTTTTCTTGATAAAAATTGTTGCCGTACAACACCGACTCAAAACAGTCGTAAGATCTCGAGATCTCCACAAAGACTTAATGAAATTAAAGTATAAACTATATATTTGGCTTTTCGTTGTCGTTGGTTTAGTTTGTACTAAATACTAAGGTTGTTGGTCCCAAGAGCTGTTGAGCGGCTAGATCCAATGAGGATGCCTGCTCCAAGGGCAAAGGAACATCTATCGTGAAGCCCAATGCCGGTTGCTGCTGCTCCACCAGGAATTCAGTCTGCTCCGCCTGCTGTGGCAGAGCCATTTGCAAGCAGTCGGCCAGCTGTTGTTTCTCGGCCTTTGCTTTTTCCATATTGTGCTTGTGCGTATTCGAGCGATAGTGGGTCTTCAAGTGGGTTGGTCGCGAAAACGAACGCTGGCACAGCTCACATCTGCAAATACATAGCTCTGGTAATACAACAAATTGAACAACAATGAGTTGGTTTCTTGCCTAAACAAGCGCTCGCCCGTATGGATCAGCATATGGTTCTTTAGAATGTACGAATTAGTGAAGCCCTTGGAACACTGGGAGCAGACAAAAGGCCTATCATTGGTATGAGTGCGTTCGTGACGTAGTCGCCCGCTGTAGTTGACATAGCTGCGATCGCAGTAGCGGCAGGGGAAATTACGATCCCCAGTATGCATCACCTGATGACCTTTCAGCTCCCCAGCGGATAGAAAGCGGGCGGGGCAGAGTCTAAGAGACCAAAACGATTAAAAACTGCAATGAAATTTCTTAGTTTTCTCATCTTACTGGCACTGGAAGGGTCGGACGCCGCTGTGCTTACGCAGGTGGCGATCAAAGGAGGTTTTTCCAGTGATATTGGTGCCACATTGATCGCAGAAGAAGACGGTTAGAGCTGGTTTTTGGCGCTTTTCACTAGAACACCTCTTTCGTCGACCTCTTCGGATCTTAGCTGCGGAGCCAGGCACATCATCGTCTTCTGACAGGGGAAACTCTTTAATTACGAAGTCCAGATCTGTTTCGTTGCTAGTGTCCAGATGATCAACACCATCGTCTTCTTCATGGCCATTGCTCAGGTTCTCGACTTTGATCATTACTTCTATGGGACTGGGCAGATTCTTTAGTTCTGTGGCAGCGTCCAGCTGATTCTGGGAGCGCGTACTACGTCGTAAACAGAATAGGTGGGTGGATGCAGGCCGAGAGCCCTCAGTAAGCGTCCCATCGAATCTTTTGAACTTATCTTGGCTGCTCAGACATTGGTCACGGAACTCTATTGCACCCTGCAAGGCTGTCTGACATCTTTCGCATATCCAATCGGGTAAATCGGGATCGAATTGAAGCTGTGGTGGGGCAAACGATTGATTTAAACGTTTTTATCTTGGATTCCTTAGAGCTTACCAAAATGCCGGCGATTAAATTGATTTGTTGCACCAGCTCCCGCGTGCTGCTCATGAAGAGCTTTAATGCTTTGCTGTCGTCCGTGTTACTGGCGCATATGCGACAAACGTTTTTCAGCATTTTAGTTCAACAAATGGGTAATAATACTCAATATTGCTAATTGTAAACAAAGACATTCCACCCACACAACTGTTGACCATTCGCAGCGCAACGCCCACACGTACAGGTGTCGCCATGCAACACTGGCTCGAAATAAGACCGCAAAACAAAGTCTCGTTTAAACTAAGTTTCTTTTCTATTTGGTTCCCTGCTAATATGAATTATTCTAAAAGATTTCACATGACACCGCCTTGCTGCTGCTTCATGACGTTCTGCTTGTGAGTGTTCGATTGGAAATGCGTCCGCAGATGCGTCTTACGCTGGAAAGATCGCTCACAGAGATCACATCGAAATTGTCGCTCGCCCGTATGCACAAGCATATGATTCTTAAGTATATAGGAATTCGTGAATGTCTTGCCGCACTCGGCGCAGACAAAAGGCCGCTCATTGGTATGGATTCTCTCGTGCTTCAATCTGCCCATGTAGCTCACATACCGCCGCTCACAATAGCGACAGGCAAACGGTCGTTCTCCCGTGTGGACACGATGATGGGAGCGGAGTTCGGCAGCCGTGAGGAACTTGGCGGTACACTCGCTGCAAACATAATAATTGGGATTTAATACATTGTGCTATTGTGAACTTTGTTATGATTCTTACAGGCAGCCATACGGGCGCTCTCCCGTGTGTTTTCGCATGTGCCGCTCAAATACAGTCTTTGAATGGGAATGCTTTCCACATTGTTCGCATATGTAGGGTTCGTCTTCCTGCTTTGTGACTTTGTGGTCATTTTTGGGATTTGTGGTTAGTATGGGATCAGCAGTTGACTGCTCCTCTTCGCTGCAGATTTCCTCTGGCTCATCCTCATCGATTTGTTCACATACGAAAAGACTGCTCGTTGGCTGCTCTTCCAGCATTATTATAAACGGTTCTTCCGGCTCCTGTGCCCCGTCATCGGTTTCACTGAATTTGCTGACTTTGCCAGAATTCTGTCTTGTTATCTTTAACGTCTCAGCTGTTGCTTGGCATTCGGTTTCGCTAAGCGAGGAATCTTCGTGTACCACGATTTTGGGCTGCCATCGTTTCTGGGTTTTAAGGCACAGTTTTCGAAAGGTCATGGCCAATTTGAGATCCGACTGGCAGCAATGGCATATGAAGGCAGGAACATTCGACAGATCTCTCAACTGTGGTATCCATAAAACAAAGACATTTGCATAGGGATATGTAAATTTAAATGTTTCTCAATAGTTCTAGCCAATTCCGGCTTACCCGAACACCAGCAATCATAAAAATATGTCGCACCACTTTCCTGTTGGCATGCTCGAACAGATTTATGCTTTGTTCACAGAGATTGCGCCTGGCGCAAATTCTACACATATTTATTAACATCTTTGAGGCTCCCTCGTTGCAAAACTCGCCTAAATGGAATGCAGTTTCATGTAAATCGGAGCAGCAGCAGCGTTGACATTCACTGGAAGACGCGGTAATTATTTGTTGCTGCTTTGAAGGGCGCGAATTTAGGGGTAGTTTTAAAAGTAAACAAAAATATTAAAGGAATCTACAGCAAAGCTAGTCTAGTGCTAGACTTGTGAACTTCTAGAAACTATAATTATAATTCTGTATTCTGCTGCTTATTGCTGGCACAGTTTTCTCCCCCAGGGAGCACAACCTTTTGCGCTGCAGCATTAAGTTTATGTGTGTTCGATATGTAATGCGTGACAAGATGTTTCTTGAGCGTAAAGGAACGATTGCAAATATCACAACTGCAAAAAGAACGATCTGCATAATTATACCATATTATTGCTGGAGACTCGGCAACTCACTTGAACATCCTCTGTCCCGTGTGGGAAAGCATGTGCTGCTTCATGATGCACCCTCTGGTGAATGCCTTGCCGCACTGTTCGCAAACAAAGGGCCGTTCATTTGTGTGGACGCGTTCGTGCTTCTTTCGCCCTATCGACGAGAAATATTTCCGCTCGCAATAGCGACAGGGAAATGGTGGTTCCTTTGTGTGTTGCGTGAGCATGTGGGCGCGAAGTTCGTTTCCGGAAAGAAAAGCTTTCGGACATTCCCTGTAAAGAGTCCAAGATTAGTATCGTGGTATACACGGGGTATATATTCGCCCATACTTGCAGGGATGTGGCCTTTCGCCAGTATGCGTGTACTTGTGCCTCACTAGCGATGCTTTGTTGTTCTTAACGATGCCACACAGATTGCATTTGTGGAGCTGTAGCTTTGGTTGTGCACTGTAGTCTTTATCGGAACTGGAGGAGCTGTCATGATCGGTTTCGTCTGGACTAGCCTCGGTATGTATTGTGACCTGTTCTGCGGAAGTCCAGGCCAGTTGGTCAACCTCATTGTTAACACTTGTTGCTTGTATGAATTCATCTTCCGTTTTCATTACAACATCAACTATTTGCAAAGGTTCTACAGGCAAATGCAAGACCGGTCGTCGCCTAGAACATCGAACACTCCGGCGAATTTTTGGCGTCTGATCTTCAGTTTTCTTCTCCATCGGCGACCATTTCTGTTGCACTTTAATGCACTGCCTGCGAAACACATTGGCTGTCTTTATGTCCATCTGGCAGCAGAAGCACACCATGTGGGGTGAATTGGAATGACAAAGCAGCTAAACAATACAAACAACTAATATAAATCGTGCAATATTTGAGACGAAACATACAAGGCTAAAGCTTACTCGAATCCCAGTCAGATCATATATATACCTCAGTAGCTTTCGATTACTAGGTTCGAAAAGCGGTAAGGCTTTCGGGCAGATGTTACTCTTGCCACAAACCCGACAAAGGTTTATTAACATTTTAATCTATTAATTAAACCGATCTAAAATATAATAGGCAGGGTCCATTCACTGGGAAACGCCTGCATTACCAGTGTTACTGAACGCAAAAGTTGATCGGCCACTTTTAATTGGATTACATAATGTTAAGAAACATGTAACTGATTTTTAAATAAAAAAAGAACAAATATGACAATAATTTTCTTTTCCGGTCTATGGCTTTCTTTGTTTGGGTTTTATTTTTTAGACTTTAAACTGTTTTCGAAGTACTGCGACCTTGGCTAATTTATTTCAACATATGTATTGTAAAGCTTGTTCTTAATCTGAGTGAAGTGATGCTGCAATTGAGATCCTAAGCATGAGAGACATCGTTGTCGTCATAGGTTCTCAACAGATTCTCTTTGATTTGCAAATCTTTGCGGAAGAGGATGTGCTGTTGATGAGTCCCCTCAATTTCGCGTTTAACCTTCAGCTGAAGCAGTTCCACGCGAAGCTGTTCGACGAGAAGACGGTAACGGTGAAGCTCCTGCTGGCGCTGGCGGAGATTTGGCAACCCGCTGCCAGCGATGCTGCTGGTTTTGCCCGTCTCCGAACGTGCCGTGCTGTTGCCACTGGGCCTAGTTGTTCTCTTGCCAGACAGCGAGGGGGCACCTCCGGCCGTACCGCTGTTGCTGGAGGTAATCGCCTCCGGGGAGGAACGTCCTGCCGAGCAGCTGTTGCTGGGGCTGGTCAATTTTTTGACCGACTCCGATGACGAGTCTACCGTGTCACTGTTGCTGGGGCTAGGAACTTTTCTGCCCGAAGCTGACGGTGCCTTTGTAGGCTTGACTGTGCCCCGCTTAGGTCCCACATGAGGACCGCTTGAAAAGGAGGTCGCTAAGGGCGTTGTTACAACGACGCTTGCCAGATGTTTCAATGGTCCTGTCACTCTGCTTGCTTCTGATGCGGTGCCGTTCTTCTGCAAATCCAACTCCCCGGAGCTGCACGAATCCGTGTCCTTCGACATTGAGACGCGCACTCGGTGAGCAAACATCGGCGGGACCTCACGCACTACGCAAGTCTGATGTGGCGGCAGGTCACAGGTTTCTATTTTTAAGTTGATAGCCGCAGCCTGGGATGTGCTCGGCTGCTGCTGAATATGATCCAGGCCTTGGTCCTTGCTCCTCTTGAACTTGAGCGATTCATGGGATGGCTTGTAGCGCAGGGCAAGGCTGGGACTTCCACTCAATTCGAATTTCTCTTTCTCCTCCTCCGGCAGTTCGCCCTTTTTGATCAGCTTAATTGTGTTGAAAAGACGCTGCCAGCTTGCCTTGGCGCGCTCCTTGCTCTCGAGTCCTTCCAGTTTCGCCAAAGAATTTGATTTTTGTACAGAAGATTGAGATGTTGTCGGCTGCTCCTTCTGCGCCAGCTCCTTGCGCTTGCCCAACTCTGCGACCAGCATTCGCCAGTTTTTGTGTGGAGCGTCTCGATTGACGGCCACCTCTGGATTGCTTTGGGATTCCTTAGTGGTGTCACTGGCCACCTCTGATGGCATCCAGCGATAGGTGACGATCGAGTCAAAGACCTCCTCCTCATCCTTACAGCTTTTGTCCATTTTCCACATGACGCGACGACTGCTGTTCGAATGGGAACGTCCGCCAGAGGCAACTGAAGTATAAGAGAATATTATTCAATATTATAAATTGTTTATGAAATATAAGTAATTGCCTGAATACCGACCGGATTTATTCTGTTTGTCCATTGGGAATTTTTGCAAATTTATTTAAATTCAAGTAGTATTTCGTTTCGTTAACTTTAGGTACTTCAAATTTCAAAAAATTTGTAAAATATTCCGACAAAAATAAATTTGGAAGAGATCTGATCTGGATTTGTGTAAAAGTGTTACTGAAATCAAATGCCCCACATATGTATGTAGATTGCCTGCAAAAGGTCTATAGAAGCACAGCCTACTACTTTGAACAAAAGATTTTGTTGCTTTTTGGTTTTTCTTTAATTGTGTATATAGTTTTTGTCATAAAATCTTTTATGTTTTCTGCTTGTTTTATATTTATTAGCTTAATTGTTTTGTTAACATCTTTTGCGTTCAACGAAAGTACATAAATATCATACATACAAATAAATTAAATTAACAAAGGATATTGTGGCTTTGGTTTTCCTTGTTTCTAGCTGGTAAGGTATTTGCCTTAGTGTTTTCTAATTAAAATTGTAGTTTTAAAAGCATGAGATTTGAGTGTTTCATTTTGTGATCTATTTGTGCGGGCATCTGGCTATGAAACCACAAAAAGGTCTTACAAATTATACACAATCTTTGGTTTTTTTTATTGACCAGCTGAATCTATGACAAGAAGAATCTCTGATCCATTTTTGAGGCGGGGCGGGGGATAATTGAGCTTGACTTATTCCGGGGGCGTTTTATTTCCATTCTGCCAATAGGCAGTACAAATACATACATACATATGAAGAATGGAGGGAGGGTCCTTTGCCTAGGTTAACTAACACTCTCTAGATTTTTAGTATGCTTTCCCTTTTCATTTCTTGCTGTTGTTGTTGTTTGCTATATGCTAGTTTTTATATAAAGTATTTGTTCATTAAAGTACACACATCGTCTAGACTTTCTTGTGGGTTTGCTGTTGTTTTTCTACTGGGGTTTCTCTTATTGTTTAATAAACTATTTCTTTTTTGAGTTTTTTTGAATGGATCTCAAGCGTAATTTACATGATTTCTCCTGGTTGTTTTTTGTGACTAGAATTTGTGTAAAGATTCGAGTTATTATGTAACCATTTTAACTAGTTTTTAGATTATTTTTCCACACTTACAATTTTTAGTTTGTTTTTTAACTTGTTTTTATACAAAAAAAATGGCATCTTAAAAATTGTGAAAATTATTTTCAAGTTTTACATCAAAGTTTTTGAAGCTTTTTGTTGTCTCTCTTTTTATATTGGTTCCAATTGATGCTTAAATGTTAACATTTCTTGTATATAAAACCATGTGTGTGTATGCTCTCTATCATAAATCTTATCATAAGTATAATTAAATATCATATAAACTACTCAAGTTTTTTTGTTTTTACGGATTTCACTTTTCATCTCATCTAAGTTTCTGTGTATGTTTTTTTTTTTCGGGGCATATGAGCAAGTCTCGACTGCCTACTGCAATTTCAATCTTTATCTATCATTCAATATCATTCTTTTTGGTTGTATATTGCTAAACTTTGCGCTTGTTTGTAAGTACTAAATGTATAAATGTTTTTTGTTTTGTTTTGTTTGTTTGTGACCTGTTCGGTTTGTTGTTCTTACTAATCATAAGTTACTGGACGACACAGTGAGAAAACGAAGACGATGGCATACCACACTTCGGTGAAATAGAGGGCTATCTGCAGCGTACAGAGGCAGTACTCCAGGCGCAGTCGGTAGGTTTGTAGCAGCAGCAGATAGGAGACACCGAGGAAGCAGGGAGCAGTCATAAAGACCGACAATATGGCTGACCAACCTGTGAAATAAACAGAGAAAATTTCCACATTAAAATGTTGTTTTTATTGATAACAAATGACTAAAATTAGAAGAGAGCACACCACGACAGAGAGATATCTCTACAGTTCTACCTCGATCGGCCAACGAACTCTTGCGTCCCATTATCAGACGTATCGACTCCAATAGAATGAATGAAACCATCACCGCCGAATCCATGGCCAGGGTATGCCCCGTATAGCTCAGATTGATGGCCTTCAGCAGACCCATCGCCATCTCGCAGCAGGCGAACATCCCAAAGTAAAAGGAGTTTAAGTAGATTAAAACTTCGTAGTTCATGCTGGGATTGGGCTGCTTCGGCACCAGTGGCGGCGGTCGCTTTGGCGGCATCCTGTTAACAACTTTTGCACCTCTCGATCTTCAATTTGATGGCAAAATTCCTGCCCGAGATCGCCGCGCACGGTGTTGCTCACGTTGGGCGCTATATTTATAGACTGTGGTGGGAACCTGCCTCTGCGTTAGATCTTGCAGCGGGCAGTCGAGCACGGTTTGTAGCTGCGAAATTTGAATAATGTGCTGCTTTTGGCTTGTCGTTGTCGCCGTTTTAGTGGCTTTCTCTGGCGTTGTTTGGGCCAGAGATGATCTACAGATGCACTGCCCCGGGCTACATGAAAGTGTCAGAATAGATTAACTAATCCCTGGCCCAAAAGAAGGGGCTAATTGGGGGCCAAAGACCGAACAGCCGAAAGCATCATCCGAGAGACCGCGTAGTAGTAGTATCCCGCTGGTAGTCTCAATCTCTCATCGATGGTCTGGCAGACCGAAGGTGTCCGTCCCGCCGTATATATTACATTTGAATTAGAAGTGTGCATTGCACCTAGGGGACACGAGCACTGAGCACTGCAGTTCGTATATAATTTTAGACCATCATAAGCGTATAAAAATACCAACAACGAGCGCGTACGTCGAGCAGCAGGGAGGCGATGGCGACAAAAGGCCAGACAAAAGAATGCAAACAAGAAATTCAAATTAAATGCAGCTTTGCTTTTGATAGAATCGGACGCGTCGGTCGCGTTGTACTGTCGCGAATAAGATCTGTATCTCTGTGCGCGACGCCTTATATAATTTGAAAAGCAGTTACCTTAATGGAAGGAAGCCTCCTCTGACTGTATCCAAATGTGTGCGTGGGTTGTTTGGTTCGTTTCGGAGCGGAGTGCGGCGTGCCAGTCGATCATTCGGTTTGTGGTTTATGGACACAGGGCACACACAGCAATACGCCAGCGTATCTGTTGTATTGGTGGCAATATCTCTGTTACATTAGTTGCTAGTCGCTAGAGTAGAGGAGTCCTTAAAGTGGTCTAGTGTCTGATAGAGTAGTGCCAGGAGAAAGTCTCGTCTCGTCTTCGTCGTCGCTCTACCTCGGCTGCCGCCCCTTCCTCTAGCAGTGCTAGTTCTAGCGCTAGTGCTGATGTTGATGGTGCTGCTGATGATGGCTTGGTCGTGGTACATCAACTGCTAGGTGTATGTTACGGGTCGACACATTGTACAAATGAATATGCTGGCATAGACTAGTTCAGCACCTTGTAGGGTGATCATTAAGGCACTCAGAATCATTTCGAGTTTGAGAACATAGGTTTGAAAACAACACAAATATATAACAATAGCAAGACTGGGCAGTGTTAATATTACGGATGCGGTTGCTTGCCATCCTGCAAAAGACAGAAAGAAACATATAATAGAATAGATTAGTAGCGGAATATGTTTTCTCTGTCGTGACGCCTTCCGCCATTAACCGATTACATTTCTCATCTGCATCATGACCATAATTACGCATACGCCACTGGGGCCGGGGGAGGGGATGAGTACATACACCACGAAACGAAACGTTTATGGGCGGCTGACGTTTGCAAGCAAATGGCAGGGGAATGTGTAATGTGGGGAGGGGTTGGCTCTTGTTTATGACAATGACGAAGCCGTCATCCATAACTTTGCAGTGTCATCGTCAGAACTCTTGCTAGGATTTCTTTAGAAAGGCAGTGGACTACTCACCACGATCGCTGAGACTGCTCTTGCGGCCAAAGACAATGCGTAGGGTCTCAATGATGCACAGCGAGAGCAGTATGGACGCCTCCCGCGACAATACATTCTCGCCGTAGTTCAGGTTGATTGCCTTCAGCACGCCCACGCCCACCTCAAAGGCGGCGTACATGCCAAAATAGAATGAATTCAGATACATGAGTATCTCATAGATGAGGCTGGCGTTCATTGCGCTGCGGCGGCGGCGTCGGCGGCTGTTTTTCTCCTGGCCGCTAGCTGCTGCTCCACTCGGCGGGTAGAGGTCCTAGGGCTAGGGCAGGGGCAGAGATGCTGCTGCCCTTAACTGCTCGTCGTCACCGGCGCAGTTTGAAGCAGCTGTCTGGATGGGAGGGGCAATGCCAATATCCGTAGTGCTAGTCCTAATCCTAGTCCCAGTCTCTGAACCACTCGTCCCACGAAGCAGCAACAGCAGCAGGTGGCTTGCCTTCTAGCACGCGCACTTCCATATATCCATTTGTATGATGGGGTGTATGGGCGCTGGGTGGCTGGGGACAGCGTTAATGGAGCTCTTGGTGTATTTTTAATTGTGTTCTCCTCCTCATATGTATATTTACTCGTATGGTAACTGCTGCTGCTGCTGCCCTCTTGCCGTTGCTATTGCTGTACTGGCCAGCGCGTCGGTTGCCAGGGGGGTCAATGACAACTCTTTGCTAATATTAAGTATGTGCGTTCACATTTAGATGTAGCACACGGGGGGGATATATTGTTGAGAAACATAGAACATGGAGCTTCTTATATAAAAACTTTTGGCAATTTATATGCTCTGCTCTGCACACGCACACAACAACAACAACAGCGACGGCAGCAGTTCTTTTGGTATGTACGCACACACACGCCAGGGGCCAATGGCCAACGAATTTGCACCATTAATAATATCCAAAATATATTTTAGACCTTTTATGGGATGTTGTTGCTGGGGAATTTTCTTTTCTTTGGATGATATGGTTTATTTTTGAACATGCTCTATGGAGTCTCATTTTCAAAATATACCGTAAATATACTGACGAAATATTTCCATTCAAATTCCATCATATTCCTCGATTTTGATATTCGGTTCAATATTAATAACTATCAAGGAACCTTAGCCCTTAGAACATAATTTTATCCAATTATAGAATCACTTTCCTACAACACTGGTTACTTTAAAGAACCTAGCTTAATTGGATTGTTTATAAAAAAGGTTTAAACAAAAAAGGTCAACAGCAATTTCCACAGAAATGCATTTTGTTTACATGGTAATTACACGTTTCCTACATGTTTTCTACACATTGTAATGTAATTATTGAAGGCCGCCCCTAGGGGGAAGTGTGTACATTTAAAAAATGTTGGCCGTCCGTTTTTCATATAATCCCCATGGAAGCGCCAGTGTGCAAAACCTGCGCTATCCACTTTCTTATATGCCTTTTCTTCGACATTTAAAAAAATTGAGATTTTGATGGCAGACGACCATAAATTCGATTCTGATCAAAAATTAGTATTCGTTGTGGCCTGGGACATGGCATTTAAATTCATTTCTACATTATTTCTACATGATTGGATTATCACAACGAGGTTTTCCATAACGCGTCTTAAAAACATACTGGAAAATACTATGAAAAGTATCAAAATGTTCATGGTGTGCGAGCTAGACATGGTGTTGAACATGGCAGTGTGACCGTGGATTTATTAATAAGGTAAACGGTCTGACCCTCAGAAATAGACGGAAATAGACAGTCGCATTATCATAATATACCGTAAATATACTGATAAAAAAACGAAATTGAGTTAAACCGCGTAAAAAATATTACTTTTAAATTATTGTAGATCCATATTGTCCTTCATCATTACCTACTTAAACATTAACGTGTACAGAATTTTCGACAATAGGTTAGCTAATCGTTTTCTGTCTATGTTCAGTCACAACGAACTTGTTATCGAAGTGCTGTCGTCTCTGAATAATTTGTTTTGATTTTACTTTATTTAAATTTGGTTGAATTTAATTTTTGTCACGATGCCTGCAGATCAAATCCAGTACTCAGAGAAGTATTTTGATGACAAATTCGAGTACAGGTGAGTGCGCGCCAAAAAAACACCATGTAATGACTTTGTTAACAATTGCGTTTTTGCCCCCGAAACCGCAGGCATGTTATTCTGCCTTCCGATTTGGCCAAGCATGTGCCCAAGGCGCATCTGATGACTGAAACGGAGTGGCGCAATCTTGGCGTACAGCAGAGTCCCGGCTGGGTCCATTACATGATGCACGCACCAGAGCCCCATGTGATTCTGTTCCGCCGCAAACGCGTCGGGGAAGAGAACGCGCCGCAGGTGTCGTCTCAACAAGCGGCAGCCTGTGTATAAAGCCAGACATAACAGCACCCACCAACTCACACAAGTATTCCATAAGACAAATTTATCAGAACATCCTGATGTAAAATAAGTATAACCCATTAGCTTTAAGAGTATTGCAGCTGATCAAGTTCAACCCTCGAAAATTTTTGTTTAACGTGTTGAAACGTTTCTGTTAATTTCATTTAAGTTTATTTACCTAAAATACAAATCAAATGTACGCCATGTGTACGAACAGTTTAAAAGCAGTAGTAGTATTGTACATTTAAAGCTAGTTATAACAACGCCAGACGGCCGGCACCAGGTGATCGGTCCAGCTCTCGTAGCTGAGATCGCAATTCTTCTGTGCATAATACTCCATGGCGTAGAGAGAGATTAGGACCCCATTTCCCAGGATGAGGGAGAACCAAAGGAACATGTTTCCCAGCACTTTTGGGGCACTTCGCATCAGATACACTAAAGCGACGCCCACAACACCGAAGAGGAAGAACATTACGGGGAAGAACATTTGCAAGGCGAAACCCAGCACCTGCTCGTGCACCAGAGCCGAGATCATGAACACCGACAACGAAGCGGCCACCTTGGAGCCTTTGAAGACGTGCGTGTACATGTCCTTGTATACGTACTCGTACAGCCAATCGTGCACTACCACATTCCAGTTGCGGTAGTAGGCGTCGTAGGTGTGCGATGTCCACCAATCCTTGTAGAACATGCGATCACCGAAGCGCAGCAGCTCCGCCGTGAAATTAAGCCATGAGTGCAGGATCAGGTAGAAGCCACACAGGAAAATCACTGCACTGGGCAGCATCATGCCAAAGAGCTTCAGTATCAGCTGCGATGGGCCCATCTCCTCCTTGCCGTATTCTCCGAAGTGCTCGTGTATGTGACGCTCGTGGATAAAGGCGTAAAGGAAAGCTACCGCTACCACCTCCAGGAATCTGTTAAGGGCAAACTTCCAGCGTATGTGCGAGGTACGTGGATACCTGTCCCGGTAGATCAACGTGGGGGCGAAGAGATAGTACACATAGCTTCGCACAGGTGGCACAAATGGCCGTTCTCCCGACGCAGCCTCCTTGTCGTCATCTGTCTTCTCCTTCCCCGCTAGCACTCGGGGTGCATTGTATCGAATGAAGGCATGCATCTTCATTAGCAGGCGAGTGCTCTCCAGAAGCAGGATGCAGGCGCTAACAAAGGGTAGGCCAAACTTAAGGCAGAGCGAGGAGGACACAAAGCAAAATACCAGCTGGGAGCTGATGTACATAATCAGGCAACTGTGCGACCAGAATCTTTGAAGAGAACCTGCCAAACGGAAAGATCAGGTGGGTGCTTTCTGCTGTATTCCCTCTAATACTTACTATGCTGCTTTAGCTTATGTCTGACCAAAGCCCAGCCCTGGAAGGCGTAATACAGCGCCAGGACAAAGACATGCTCAAGGAGCCACACACCAAAGACCCAGTGCAAGCGTTTCAGTCCTCCTCGAAACGTGCCCAGGCCCAGATCGATGCGCCCCTTCACAAAGTAGTCGTAGAAGATCACATTAAGCAGAAACATGATCAGAATAATGTAGAAGATGTGATAGATGGTGCGCATGTGCTCCACCTGGAGCAGTGTGGTCAGGTACGATTCCCGCGCCACGAATACCTTGTCGGGCAATTGACGTCGCTGCGGTCGCTTCTGTCCTTGGTGCGGCGCCGGTGTTGTCGTACCATTTGCATGACCATTTGGACTGTCACCTACGTCGCTGGCTGCGGTGGATGGAACTTTTGGATTGGACATGCGATTATGCCAAGTATTGTTTCGGCTTACTCCCCCATAGGGGCTCTCGAAGTTGCGAAATTCGTGGGCGCGCAGCTCACGCTGTCGCATATCCTGGAGCACATCCTCGACCATGCAGGACAGGCGCTGCTCAAAGTCTTGCAGCATTGTTGATTGGAATTTTTGCAATTTTTCGCGCACAAAATTGAGTTCGGTCAGTTCTGCCGCGCCCCTGCGCTGCTGCTGCTGTATCCCGTCGGCCATGGCTTTGTTTGAGGTTTTGTGCGCTTAGCCTTTGTTCCTTTGTTAGTCCTTAGTAATCTTTACTTAGTTTTTTATAGCCGCGTTACTCAATTAATTGTATTCTTATTGCGACTGTCCCGTGGGACGTCAGTTTGCACAATGTCCGCGTCGAGGCATCCGAGACGGCGCACTTAGCTTCGGATTCTCCGCCTCCAAAGCTTACGCGACGTTGTTTTCAAATTCACGAAGATAACGGCGCTTGGCTGAATGGCTAAGGCAGAGGCGTGGGTAAAGGGGGTCGGAATTCTGCTGTACCGTATTGTATTAACATGAATATAATGGTGGAAATTATTACTTGCAATATTTAATAAAGGGTGTTAATAAAGGGTGTTGACCCCCTGCACATTATTTGACGTACGCCACTGGTTGCTAAAGCTAAGTCTTACTTTCCTGCTCTCTCCCTCGCCTCCCTCACTCTACATTACCTTTAGCGCTCTTGCAAGAGGTTTGCGCTCTCCCACTCGTGTTGCCATGTGTTAAACGCTCAACAATTGGAAATTTTAGTTACATTCGTTTTGATATCTCGTGCATTAGGCGAGACGATTAGCTGTCAACGGTACTTTAATCAATCCAGAGGCAGATTCTGATGTGGGCCTCTATTCAACGCCACTGATAAGCCATTTTGTTCATTGGCCTCGCACAGGGGCAGCAGCAGTTGCAAGTCCGAGTGCACTTGCACTCAAATGGTTTACATGACGCCGAGCTCCCACGACCCCATTTTAGGGTGCACCGTGGGACCAAGTGCATGAAAAGGTTGTACTAAATGTACTTACGAAAGCCATAAAAAAGGTCTTCCATTCTCCAGTACATGGATTGTTTGTCGTCCAACTGGCAAAGTTCATGTTTTGTATTGATACGATCTAATAAAACAATTTAGATTAGAAGGTACATATTTCGTCTTTAATCCGAATGGGGGAGCAGGTACACCTGTCGACATGGTATAAGAATGAGTATCATATGTCTTAATCTAGAAAAATGTGTCATACAATGTGGCAATGGTACTAATTGGAAATTCAGCAAGTAATTACTCACTTCGGCTCGGATATCGTACTAGTCTGAGTACGGATGTCCGAAAGCAATAGATTTCATTAATAAAAATATTGTCAATTCATTTTGCTATCATGTCACATTATTTTTCCTTATTTTCTCCAGTTCTTTGTATATTATCATATTTTTAATTATTAAATTTGTTATAAAAGATAAAAGCACACCGAAAATTGGAGATACATGCATGTATGTATGTGTATGTTTTTGAGCTGCATCAAATATGCCCCAAAATTGGGGAAAATAAGAAGGGATATGTGTTTGTATTGCGGGTGTATTTTTGGCATATTTAATTGCAAATATTTACGACGAGCGGGTAAGTATATATGTAGATAGATACGTATCCATATGTATGTATATATGAGTGGAACAAAAACAAATACAGGCGCATAAACATAATGTTTTGATAGCGAAAAATGAGCCAAAATTAAAGCTCACGGCCATGAGGTCCTGCGGTTAGCAGGATGCACAACCATCTATACCTAAATATGATTGTGTGTGCGTGTGTGTGTGTGTGCGCTTGTTGGAAATAATATTAATGCCGTGCAGACGCAATAACCGAAAATATATATTATTTATGCGAAATAAACAGCAGCGACAAGAAAAACTCGACGACCCGACCGCCCACAAACCCCCAAAACCACCCAAAACCACCCGAAACATAAACCAAATATGAAATTAATGCAAAACTGACAAAAGCAGCGTGAGTACGAAAGAAACAACGAGAAAATGGAGAGTGTAATATATGAAAATAGGAATAATAAAAGCTGTGCTTTTGCCTGTGCCAGCGTCAGGACCGGACCTCGTAAAGCCCATACCATATACCATATAGAAAAAGCCATATCTAGAAGAAGGCATATTCATAAACCTCCTGACAGAAAGCAAACCATTATGGAGAAACCGAAACCGAAAGATCTTGGCCTCGGGATAGTATAAGACAAACGTACACATAAAAAGACATTTTTATTGCCTGCCCCAAAAAGAAAGGAACAAAAGAAAAGCAAAGCAAAGCACACAAAAAAGGAGAAGGGAGAATGGGGGGAGAGAGAGCCAAAAAAGGCCACCAAAATAATATGCGACCGCATAAAAATCTATATAATTCATAAACCCGCAATGGGAGGAAGGTCGGGACGGAACGGCAGGAACCGGACACGTACTCCGCTCTGTGGCGGCCATATTGGGTCATAAAAAGCACTCACACACACCAGTACACCAGCACAAACATCCACACACACACAGAAGAGGCAACATAAAAGCCACGGCCACAGAGCGGCGGAGGAAAAAAGTGACAGCAGCAGCAACAGAAAAAAATTTTTATGATGCTGCCTGCGCAAAAGTTTTGTGAAGCAGAAACATATAAAAAATGTTGCATATTTTTGGGCATGTGGGTAATTCCCTTTCCGCTTTCCACGGTTATTGTATGTGTGTGTGTGTTTGTATTTCTGTTTTGTCATTTCCGTTATTTGGCTGCCGGCGTTGCTGTTGCTGTTGCTGTTGTGCTGTTTCTGGTTTCTGGTTTATAGGCACACCATTTTGTGTGCTGTGTGCCCTGAAACTCTGAACAAGAAAAAAAGAAAAGAATGAAATTAGAAATGGCGCATTTTTGTAATTTACTAAAAAGCCATATAAAACGCAGTGAAAATGTAAGGGGAACTATAAAATGAATGAATGGATGTACATAAGCTATGATTGGGGGTATTAAATGGATGTGGGAATGGAGTAGAGAGTCGGAGCTGCATTAGGAGAGATTCATTAGAAGGGGAATTAGTGCTGAATACAGTGTAAGATTGTTACGAGTACGTATTAAATTCCCTAGATTTCCCTAGAAAAATTTAAGTTATACCGCTCTAAATTGCTAGTGAATTCTGCATTCAATTGATTATAGAATGGTATTCCATTTTCGTATTTACTTGAGCGCAACGGATGTGGATCTCCCTCTCCCGAAATCGTATCCATTTTCTCCATCGAACTAAATCTTCACCGTTTCAAAGCCCAACTGACGTCTGGCCACAG